GCTCACACCTTCAGGTAGGGCCACTTATTTGCTGATGGTGAATCACATAGTAATATGCCTTCCGCGGGCATCTGGGGTCAGTGACGACTGTAGTGGCGCCGGTACCGAGTTGAGTGGGTCTGGAGGTCCCTGTGGAACCCGTCGGTACTCCTCTCGCATCGGGACTGTGGTTACCTTGATGCTGGCCATGGCCACAGGTCCTGACTGAACTGGCATGGCAGCAGGTGCACCAGTAACGGAGGCTGGTTCCTGTCTGTCAATGTTCTTCCCCTCAGTCTTGGCCGGGGTTGCCGTCTTCTTTCCGCTACCAGATCCACTGGCATTCTTTCTTCTCCTTCTGGCAGCACCACTCAGGTACCTACCTCTTTTCCCACCTTCTTACTTTTTTTCTTCTTTCCCATCTTCTTTTTTCCAGTGCACCAATTTGCCTTCTCCTCCACGAGCCACATGTAGAGTCACTCCTCCTTCACTAGAGGAGCTCCCACTGCTAGACTGGTAGGAGGAGGCTGCTGATGTGGGGCAGGCGGAAGGTGCTTGTTCTTTCTGAGTGGCGGAAGGCTTGGTCACGTAGGCCGTCCATTTCACTATCTCTGTAAAGGAGGCTTTAGTAGTAGGAGCTGCGACAGCAGTCTCCTTTCCCTTAACAGGGACAGGAGGTGGTATAGTTCCTAACAATGTAGACAGGGTATTGCCGGACCCTACTGAAGGAGATCGGCAATGGTGGGACAACTTGCCTTGCAGCGTTTCTATCTCTTCCCCTTGCTTACCAATAATATCTGTCAGTGCCTTCACTGCCTGCTCTAGCTGGTGTACTCGGCTCCAGTAATTCACCCCGCCCTCTGGTCCTTCATTACCAAACGCGGCGCCATTGTTCATCCAGGCCCGGACATTATGTATCGCGTCGTCCTCAATCAATCCAGATTCCGAGGTGAGGAGAGGTTGAGTGTTGCCAGAGCGGATGTCCTCCAGCCCTTCCAACATGGATCCAATTATGCTACCCAAGCGGGGCCCAGGAGAAGGAGTCCTACCTGCCTCCAACATTTCGCAAACTCCCGATATGATTGAGTCCGCCTGAGCCACAGCGGTATCAGCTTCCTGAGGTTGGATGTCCGGAAGGTAAACTTCTAACAGTGTCTGTACGTCATGCGAGATCTCCCAAGAGCTTAATAACTGTTCTTCAGACGAAGCCCATTCTCCGCTCAAGGCCGGTAGCAACGATGCCATTGCCGGAGAGGGGGCATGGATACTGTCACCCAATCCGGTTGCTTCGGAGTTGCGTTCCTCTTCCAAGTCTATGGGAGTGTCTCGAGCCAACACCTCAGAGGTAGGCAGGATGTCTTTGGTTCCTAGTGGAGATGGGAAATGCGTTGTATCCTCAATGGTGGAAGGGAGACTCACAGGCAGGGGAATGGCCAGGTGTCTGTGGTGCATGTCAAGGCCCAGGCCCGACAGGGCAGGAATGATCTGCTTTTTTCAGCCTTCATCAACATTGATGGCCTTCAAAGATTGTGGCCCTAGAACCAGAGTAGCGGATCGTTTAGCGGGGGATGCCGACTGCACACGGCATCGTATTCCAGCAGCAGGGGGGCTGTAGTCCTCATCTTCTGAGTCATCTAATTTGAACTTTAGGGTCTCATAAAGAGCCCTTTCTCCAGATGACATTCCGGCCAGAAAGGAAGGGGTTGATGAGCCAGTCTTGCGTACATGGGCCTGGCGGAGGAAACTGGGCATCTTGCTTTGGACAGCCCTAGTGAGGGGAGGGGTAGTAGACTATAACCTTACCTCTACTATAGTCATACTCTTAGTCGGTAGTGCGGAGAATTCAGGCACCACGGCTTGAAAGTCTTTCGGTGGGGAGGGTACCGGGCCTGGAGAATATTCCGAGCCGTGATCGGAGTTGAACCGAACAAAGAGTCCTGTGGTGGCGTTCTTGTTCAAGCCATACATAGCTGAACAGCCTCTCCCAATTAGAAAACCCTTCACTAAAACCTCCACTTCTTTCATCGTGGCAACGGTCGCGCCAGTGACCGTTTGCCGAACCAAATCATCAAACTGTGGGTTCACCACGTTCTGACACCCATGGCAGTGGTGAAACTGTAGGAAACTAAAGTTCTCTTTGGGTACAACATATGACCGTGTAGTTGTGGGGATAAGGCTAGGGCCAGTCTTAGTAGCGGGCGCAAGAGACAAGGCCGCACGGGCTGTCTCAAGCGAGGAGGAGGGTTTGGAGTTGAACCAAATAGGAGACGACATCCTCGAAGGAGGGGGAGAATCCGTGGAAGAAGAGGCTGTCGAAAACGCCATTCTCGCTCAAACTATACTCAGTGATTACTGGGACCAGGCCACGGATATCTCACACTGAAGTATCTTCTAAACGAGAACAACTACTTCTAACTGACTGCCCAAAACAAAAAACACAAACAAGCAACAGCAGATGAAGTATTTATCGTAAGCGAAATAAGGTAAAGTATTGGTTATGCTCACTTCCGACACGGAGTGCAAGAAGTAGGAAAAGTACTTAGAACAAAGCGTGAAGAACCTATCCTCCTCGGCCGCATCGGCCTCCTTATATAGTGTTCTTCCCACCCATAGTCATGTGACCCAAAGTGGTCACATGTGCAAAACCAAATCATAACAAACTAGTCATGTACCCAAAGTGGTCACATGCTCAAAACCCATGACCTCATAGCAAGGTCATGCGCAAACACTTATAAACCAATCATAATGCAATAAACAAGTCATATAACTTGACTGAGTCATATGCGTGAAACCCATGACCTCATAACGAGGTCATATGCAAAACATAAATCAGATGCGCAAGGCATACCCACAAGGCACACTCACAAGGCATACTCGCCAGGCACACGTCTCATGACTCATAATCAAGTCATGTACGAAACATAACATAATAAGTCATATGACCCAAATGAGTCATATGTGTGAAACAATAACATACCTATGACTCATAATCATGAGTCATGTGAAAACCTTTTCCATGCCAAGCCACGTTCATGATAGGTGATAGGAACTCTCTAAGCTATCGAGGTATCAGGGCAATACAAGAGGTAAGGTCATTACCTGTTGAAGAGCTAATTATAGAGAAGTAGGATTGTTACAACTGCTTGCGTATTGGCGAGGATTAATGTATTCTGATGAGTCTTCATTTGATCCCTCTTCTCATGGCTCTAAATGGGTCATACAACAATCGAATAAACATTATCATAATAACTGTGTTCAGTGGAACTACCATAGTAGACATGATTCTGTAATAGTATGGGGTGCAATCAGCCATGATTGGAAATCGCCATTGGTTGTTTTGGAGAGGAGGGGGAGTCGAGGGTTAATCTGTCAAGATTATCTTGATCAGGTTCTGGAATCAATTGTGGCACCTGCATTTCATGGGCTTGATAGCTATAATGTAAAAGCGGAAGCTCTTTATGTTAAAGACCAAGCACCATACCATGAAACGAAGATTTCATTGGTGGAGGTTAAAACAACATTAGGAATTGCTGTACATTCATGGCCCGCATCCTCCCCCAATCTCAACACCATAGAAAATGTTTGGAGGATCATGAAACAGAGAATCAAAGCTCGCACAGTGTTTCTGGGCACAGTGGAGAGTATGACAAATATAGTTAGGGAGGAATGGAATAAGTTGGTACCGAGGGATTGGAATAAGTATATTGATAGTATGTCTTCTAGGCTGCAGCAGGTGAAGGATCAGAAAGGGATGCAAACTGAGTTTTAGGATTTTTTACTTTCTGTATACTGCTTTCTGATCTCTTATTAACAACACCCTTTATTTTCACCTCATGATAAATTGTAGTTGTTGCGGTATTGGCAATCCAAAATTGTCGGCGTGGTTGTCACCGCGGAGGGTGTCAGCGAATTTTGACGATAGCCTCGTACAAGTATCGTGTTGTGCTAGGATCCGTTGTGCTGAGGGGACTCGTGCCGGTACTGAGTACAATTCTGGATGGTATGATACAAGGGTGGAAAGTATTCTGTACAGTACCCGAGTACAGTACTGTATTGAATTCCGCCAGTGCAAGCATGAGTAAACCATAAGGCATGGGAATGTTCAGAGATATTACGAGCGCTGTAACATACCACTGGTACTTTGTACCCTACCGTATGTATGGGGTGCGTCTTCCCAACCACGGTGTGGATGTTGCGCAGTGCATTCATTTACTTTCCCATTCCTTGATCATTGAAGTCAGGAGTGCTTGTCTTGAATACACGTACAACAGGGGTCTTGATTGCTGTTGTTATCTTTTGTCCCAAATTCTTGTTTGTTGCCGCGGACAGCACCACTGGAATGAGGCCGGCTGGATGGCGGGGACTTGTTCCTTTCCTTCCTCTTGTCTTGTTCCTCCTGCGTGTTGTTGTCCTGTTTCTCGGGATTGCCGCTCGCCGCACTTTTGATTCTCCGCCCCCCCCCTCTACTGTTCCATGTTACCGTGCCTGTCAATTTTCTCGCACCACCACCACCACCCCACCACTAATACCCATCCCACCCTTCTATCCCCCCCACTCCCACATCCCTCCACCTCAATTTTCGCGACAATTATTGGGAATTCGAGCCTCCAAAGTTTCCGTCCCCCCTTCCTTCTCTCTCACTCTGCCTGAATTTTCTTGTTTGACACACAATCATGATACCTTCATGCAGCAGCGGCTGCTCATTGCGTCTGGGGATGGGCCTTATGGCTCAGGGTCCGCTAAGTGCCTCTTCGACAATGCGTGGCCTGCACTCAACGGCTTCCTGCACGCTTCGAGCTTCCGGCCATTTTTTTCGTCCCCCTACCGGTACTCCATCTCCCCCACCATTACGACCCAGGCAGTCAGACGGTTCAGAGGAGCCAGCTCTGCACCTCTACCGCCCCTTCGACTGCCACCACCACCAGCGGCAGCGGCTTTATATAATGCCCCCCCCCCATCTGGGAAATTCTATTACTTCTTGCTTCCCCAAAACATATCTGCTCCCTCCCCCCCTCTCCCCAATGTCTCCGGCCTTGACCTCCGTTCGTGCTTTCTCCGCCAAGGCTGTTGACCATACCGGCTCTTCCCCGGCCTCGCCGGCCTCGAGCACAACTGCAAACGCTGTCGCCCCCAAAAAATTCACTTACCGGATTTCCGCTGCTTACTCTGCAAAGCAGGAGAGGTTCAGCCCGGGGACTAATATGTTCCACTATAATCCTTACAACAAAGTTCAGGACACTGCCAAGAGAAAGTCCCGTCCGGATGCTGGGCAGGACGCATTTTTTGTGTCCGGGATAAACGACACCGGAGCTATCGCAACCGGAGTGGTAAGAAGCAGCACCTTTTTTCTTATTTTGATTTTATCCCCCCCCCTTTTCCTCCTGGGACCCGGATCGTAGTGATGGTGGGAGGAACGGCAGCGAGAAGGGAGAAGCTGGTGGGAATTAAGATCAAATTAAAGAGCTCAAGCTAATCGGTCTTTCTAATGTGTGGTAATATATAGGCAGACGGGGTTGGTGGTTACATCGAATCTGGAATCGACTCTGCAGACTTCTCGCACACCTTGTGCGAACGCATTGCTACAGCGGCCCACCAGTCTCCTACGGACAATATCGGTGCGAGGTATTTGATGTCGGTCGGGTACCAAAAGATACTAGAGGAAGATGTGATTGCAGGCGGAGCATCTACCGCTTGCGTTGGCGTAGCAAAGGCGGATGGTCGGCTGAACGTCGCAAAGTAAGTGCGCTTAGTACTAGCCACAAGAGTGATGCCATTTTTGCTTCTCTTCTCTTTCTTCCCCCCTCCATGCACATTCTCGATTATTGGGCCCTGGCTGGGACCCGGCTGACCAGACCTACCAACCCCCAGCCTGGGCGATTCCGGATTTTTAATCCTTCGACAGGGGAAAATCCACCATGCATCATCCCCGCAGACCCATGACTTCAACACCCCCTACCAGCTCGCAATGATTCCGAAAAAACTCCTCGCCCAGTCAAAGCAGTACGGCGGCGGTCTTTTATCTGACCAACCCTCTGACGCCTCCGTCTCTACGCATTCTCTCCGCAATGGCGATATCGTGGTATTCGCTACGGATGGTGTCTGGGATAACCTCTCGAGCCAAGAAATCCTTAGGATAGTCTCTGGCGAGATGGTCACGGGCAAGGGGTGGATTGTGGGTGGGGAAGCCGGCACTGTTCCATCCCCACAATTGGAGAGCCTTACGAACCCTACGGAGGGGCAGGGGCTACAGGCTGCTGTCGCAAAGGCGGTGGTCGCAAGGGCCAAGTCGGCATCTGTTAACACGAAGGTTGACGGGCCGTTTGCAAAGGAGGTGCAGAAGCGGTTTCCGTCCGAGAACTTTCACGGTGGGAAGAAGGACGACATTTGTGTGGTGTGTATGGTGGTGGTTGAGGTTAGTTGGGTATTTCGGTTATTTCTATCTCCCTTCATTTCCCTCTGATTTATTACCCCTTCGTGCGTTTTTTTCTTTCCTCCTTGAATTGCATTTACGAGAGCAGAATGCTGACTCGACTTATGTACGAATAAACAGACAGAAACGGACCAACCACCTCGTGGAAAACTCTAGGAATCGCTTCCATGACCTCTGGGTTGAGTTGAGCCGGCACGATTACGAATTTCCTCTTTTATTTTTCCCTTTTTTCTCTTCATCTTCTTTCGTCTGTCTGTCGAGAGACGTCCTACACGCGGAGTCCCTCTTGAAAAAGATTTTTTTTTTTGTCAAAAACGGTATACGGGGTTACAACATAACATATTGCGTCATAACTTTAATAATGTCCCGCGCAAGTAAAATTGCGGTTATCAGCACCTTTTATTTCCTCCCTATTTTATTTTATTTTACTTTACTCTCACTGTGAGAGGGATACGGATATAGATGGGTCGGCCGGGTCAAGTTAAGTTGGGCTATTACTAATAAGAGCTTTCCCTCATTACTATTATTATCATCGTTATTGTTATTATTATGAATAGTGGTGGTGGTGGCGGTGGTTTTAACCCTTTTTACATTATTCTCTTTGCAATATTATAATTATTACCCTTTTTATATAATAATTATTACCTCTTTTACATATCACATTGATGTGGTGGGGATATTCCCAGCCATCAAATACCCAGTAACTTAATTCACCCACCACCTCCACGCCTAGTGATCCAAGAATACCTGCAGCCGCTCGTCCAGCGTGAGTGTGTCCGCTGCGAAATCATCGAACGGCTAGATATCCGGTCATCAACCCTACGTGAGAGATATTGCGTAAGAGAGTGGGGGGTAATTTAGTGATAGACATGCATGCATGCATGAATTAAGCGGTAGGGAGGGGGGGATCCAGGTACAGTATAGTATGTTTGGGTCAGGAGAGCGAGTGAGAATATGTGAAACTCATGACATATCACTCGACGGGTGGATTGTACCCTAACGTGGTGTGGGAGATGAGGTGGCATGTGATGGGTTATTCTTTGTTCGTTCGTTGCGCGGGCCAAAGGGGGGGAGTGTATGTGGGAGGGGTTGGGTGGAGTAAATGCTGCGTATGGATGCGGCAGGATGAGTGATTACTAGGATAATTACCAGTAGGCGTTGCTGTGAGGAGCCGGGATTGTGTAACAGACGTCGTTCGTGTATGATATAATTGCTCAATTTGGGGTCTACAAATCTCAACATACACCATTCCACAAAAAGGACTATTTGTTTTAAACCTCTCCGCTCTCATTCACTCCATTCGCTCCAAGTACCGTGCACCACACTACAGCGCTGGACACATGGTATCGACCATCCGGAGGGGTAAACTTTACTATGAAAAATAATGACAAAAAAAAAAGGTAAAAGTTATAAAATAGAACCCGTGGAAAATTGTTATGCGTGCGCCACGAATTCCCTCCTCCAGCCAACTAAAGACAACCCCCCCCCTCACAGACACACCGCCGCCCGAACTACTTCCCCGGCACCATCCCCTCCACCCTGCCGACCAACCTCTTAACACTCGCCCATTCCTCATTCCTCGGCGGGTCCATCGCAACTTCGAAAACCGTTACCATACCATCTAGCCCACCGACTGCAACCCTCTTCCCATCATGTTCCTCCCAAGCAATCTTGTTCAAACCCTTGGTCAGGTGGGTAGCCCCGACTCTAGAACTTGGCGAGGCTTTAGCGATAGGCACTTCTGTGTCCATGGTAATATCCCAAATCTCCAACTGGCCTGCTCCATCCACAAGGCCGAATACGCCAGGTTTGGTTGGGCTCCAAGCAGCATCGTAAACGACGTCTTCCCTACTGAATTCCATTATTGGTGCGGCGGCTTGTGGGGTTCCGTTTGCAGTTGCAGTTGTAGCGGCTGGAGGACGGGCTTTCCAGAGTTTAACGCTCCAATCCAGGGAGCTGCTGAGGACCAGGTCACCCAGGTCCACCGGACCGCGGACGGGGTGGAAGTCCACGGACATGACGGGTCCTGCATGTCCCTTGTATGAAATACGTGGCTCCACGCCCGCCTTCGCACCGGCTCGGTCGTAGCGGTGACAGGGGTGTATTGTACCCTCTTCTGTTCCGACGAGGAAGTAGGTTGGGTCAGAGTGGGGGAATGCCATGCATGTGGGACTGAGATCATCAGTCTTTGAAGGCACGGGAGTGGCTAGTTCCAGTAATTCCTGTGGTTGTGCGAGCATGTCTACCGTCCAGCCGCAGACCACTCCGTCGGTAGAGCAACTTAGGATGTTGTTTGCGTTTTGTGTTCCAATAACCGAAACCGAATACACCGGATGTGTGTGACCTGAACCTGTGAGAGGGGTCTTCAATACCGGTTGTGATTTGGCACGAGTATCCCATAGCAGAACCTGACCGCTGTAGGCGCCCCCCACAATCAAGTTGGGATGGAAGGGCGAGAACCGGGCAGTCAGAACATCGCTCTATACCACATGTCAGACTTCAAACACTACACTTAAAGGTGGAGAAGAAACAAACTTGAGCGTGAAACACGTATTCAGGTCTATCGTGCAAATGCATATTCCAGACCTGAACCAAACCGTCGGGATCATGTGGCGCTGAAGGGTTCTTGGTGTAAGAAGCCAAAAGCAATTCTGGAAACTGTTTCAGAAAATCGGTTATCACAAATTCCCCTAACCCGTCTTGGAGCCAAAGACGAATACCTTCGGAGAGTAATTGATATCGCTTATCATCCGTTTCTTCGACCACCTCTCATCGTAGAATTGGGCAACTTCTTTAAGCTTCCTTCCAGCTTGCTCCTCATCCTCCCCATTCACACCCAAACCGTAGTCCGCCAATACATCGTACTCCATATCCAAAGCTCTTTCCACAACCTTCGAAGACTTTTCAATAAAGTCGAGAAACTCTTCGGAAGCCGTAATTGCTGCCTTCTCCTCGTCCGATAATTCCCTGACAAAAAAGCCACCATTGGCAGTTGTTCCATCAGCTTTCTCATCCTGCTCCTCGGGGTCCGCAGCTTTCAGCTGCTTGAGCTCTTGCACAATTTCCTGTCGCATTCGCTCCCGTAGCTCCTCATCCGCCTTGCGTGAGACCTTTTCATCCTCCTCCCCATCCGCCCCCGTCCACGCCTCGGAGGTCTGTACCTCCTTGCTATATGTCACAATCTCACGAACGGGTGATGGCGGCTCGTCATATAAAACCGTAAGAGATGCAGTAGAAATGTTTTGTAATGTGAGGGGTGTGCCGTCGGCAGCCACCCCCGAGGTCATAGTAAGGCCACTAAGGCTAAAGCTACAATCAGAAAAACTATTGACAGGGTAACAATCCTCGGGACTCTCTTACGAATGAATTGTAGGGGAAGGGGCCTCCGAGATTCCACTTTCTGCAACAGATACTACAGAGCCGGGCCTACTGCTACCCCTTATCCCGCCCGGCCCTGTAGACGAAGGCCGCTCGCCAACTAGAATAGTTACGAGGTCTTCGATGCTCTGCCGGTTATTGTACGACCGAGGATGTGGAGATGTGAGCTATGTCGGGACAAACAGTGAAATACCACCAATTAGCTCAGGCCAATTCCGCCAACACTAGTTTTAGCTTGTAAAGGGAAAGAGATCAATTCAGTTTCACTAACATCTGGGCTTCGCCTGGAATTTGATAGGGATTGCTGCCGTTCCTGATTTCGACGCTTGATCTCGGCGAGCTTCGCCTTCTTTGCGGCAATCTCGGCTTTTCGTTGCTCCATGGTTGATTGTTGTTCCCTTAGAGCTTTCAGCAGAGCTCGGTTTGCATTGATTGAGCTGTGGAAAGGGAGGGGGTTAAAGGGATGGTGAGGATGCTAGGAGTTGATGTGGGAGGTAGGTGTTTGGCGCGCCGTTGAGATCCAGAGAGGTGAACAGTTCAAGGAAAAAGAACACAGAAGAGCCCCAGCAACGATCCCTCAGACCTGCAAAAACAAAAAGTAAAAAAGCGAGTGTCATACCAGCTAAGCTCAGGCTCAAGTCACCATACACTATTAGCTGATGATACCCACAGTGGGATAACTAAAGAGCCAACGGTTGGGTCACAGAGAATGATCAGACAATCAGTAGCATGAGCTATATCCTCCTTGGAGATAATTATCAGTAGGAAAAGTGAATTATGATATTTATTTATCGATTTCACTCCGGAGGGGGAAGAAAGTTACCTCGTTTCCGACCTTCCCGTGCAAGATACCCGACACTTTCAGGGCGGTGTTTCCAAATTTCATCCCAACCTTCTTTCCCATCTCCAAAAGTGAGGTGAAAAAAGAAAGAGAGAAAAAGAAAAGCCTCATCCTATCATCATCCTTTGACGTTCGTTCATTCCATTCAAACAACCCCCCCCCCCCCGAGCACATAGCGGACGACAAAACAAGAGCGACGGAACCTCATCCCACTCCTCAATTGATTTCACTTCCCTTTGGCACATACACGAGTACTTTCATAGAAACCCTCCCAAAAAGAAATAAAATAAAAAAAAGAATAGAAACCGACAGATATGTTCTCACAGCCGACCGCCAACGTGAGTCTCCCCACCCATTTTCCATCAATCTCAATGACCCCGCCACACTCCCTTCCTCCATTATGACCACCATCCTCCGTCATCGATCGATTTCACCTCACGAGCCTTTTCCCTCCCCTTCCCCATATCAATCCTCCCACTCACCACCACCGATCACGAAACTTTACCAATGCATGCATGCATCCATTCGTTAACATAATAACCACGACAGGTAATCCGCTACTCCGCCCTCGGCCTCGGAATCTTCTACGGCTTCACCTACCAAAACAAACTCACTGCGCAAGCCAAGATCCGCCGGGCTGAGAATGAGTACCACCGTAAAGAGAAGTTGATAATGCAGGCGAAGGCAGAGTGGGCGAAGAAGCATTCCGCCGACAAGACTACCGCCTCCGGTGGACGTATGTTTTCTTATAATGGGAGGGAGAGGGGAGATGGGAGGCTAACTATGGATGGGGGTAGTTATCACCGACCCTAACGACTCACGATTCGATCTAGAAGCGTACTTACAGCAGCTTGCGGTGGATGATAAGAAAGCTCGTGTCTAGATGTTTTTGTTTTTTTGAAAAGGTATTGTAGGCGGGAATGGGGGGGAAACATATTGCGGACACTTCTTCAATGATAACGATGGAGGGGGCTAAATTTTTACCCCTACGGGACCTTTTTTTTCTACATTAATCACGAATAGAAATGGTTGGGGAAATGCGGAAAATATGGATCAAAGTTAGTGTGTTTCTTTTCTTCTCTCTTAGAGTCCGGCAGAGAATATGGGTGAAGTTCATGGATACGCCCCCGCCGATATTCTGCATGGGGTTTTCAAAGGAGGGTTCTGTATCATATTGCTACACGGTTTTTCTTTCGCGGCTTTCTTTATCACGTTTTCCTGGGTGGCTGTTGATTTCATCCTTCAGGGGGGTGGGTCCCCGGGCATGCAGTACCTTTGGTGGGTCTCGTGCCATTCGCATTCTGTAAATCCTTTCAACCACTGGCATCGATCTTTAGGTTGTGTTGAGTAGCGCATCACTTCCAACGCGCTAGTTCCTTTATATATACAAGTACAGTAGGACTATGATACATGCTTTTATGAACCGCGGTACCATGCCATAACCTCGGTCAAACAGTCGTTTGTGCCATCTATATGATGAAATTCAAAAACACCGCACATTAACTTTTATATCTTCCCAGAGATGAATAAGTGGGAAAGGGGGGAGTTGGTAAGCTCTGGAAGGACCCCAAGAGAACATAACATCCAGATCTCACCCTGACCGTCACAGCTCGATATCCTCCCTAGCCCACAATTTAACAGTCCTATCCTGCCCGCTGCTAACGATGAACCTATCGTCCCGACTAATGTCCACGCTGGTGACGTTTCCAGAATGGGCACTGAGATTCTTGACAAGAGCCCAATCGTCGCTAGAAAAGATGTTGACGTTTCCATCGAAGCCACTCGTAGCTAGATACGTGCCTTCGGTCCGCATGGCTTCTGCTGCCGCCGCCGCGGCTTGCCCTTCATCGGTCCCGTCCATTGCTACTGAGGAGTCTTGTTTCCCGCTGAAGAAGCGTACGTCGCTGACGAGGCCCTTGTGTGCGCCGATGGTGGCGGTGCAGCGTACCATTCTTACGTCCCAGACTTTGACGGTGGCGTCCCCAGAGGATGATACGACCCTGTATCCGTCTGGGCTCCAGGCTAGACCTGTTACCTCTCGGATGTGCCCGTCGAGAACCATAATTGTTCGTCCGGTTCTAAGGTCCCATACTCGGCCAATTGAGTCTAGTCCACCACTTGCAATTAATGCGCCGTCGATTTGGAAGGCTACTGTGTAGACCTCTCTGCTATGGCCTTCTTGAAGAAGTAACTCTTTTTGTGTGGGCAGATCCCATAATCGCCATGTAGTGTCGTATGACGCGGATGCAAGATAGTTTCCACTTGGATGATGTTCGACTCGTGCAACTCGTGCTGAATGGCCAGTGAGCGTCGCAATTGGTGTATCCTGGGTCAAGGACCAGAGGTGGACAGTTCCTTCTCCGCCGCCAGACGCGAGATTTGCGGAATCCGGTGAAAGCGATACTGTGGCCTGGGGATGCCATGTGATTCCACCGACTCTTTCAGTATGGCCGCGCAAGAGAGATTTATCCTCCAAGTTTGGGATAGTGAGAAGTCTAATGCTTCCGCTCCAACTTCCAGCCGCAATGATCTCACTGTCAGGTGAGAACCTGGCAATGGAGACCGTTCTTTCTCCCGCAATCTGTGACCCAAGAACTTGATATCCCGATAACCTCTCTTTTATAGCCCGGCGGTGTTTGATATGCCTTTGTAATGCAATGCTCGCTTCCGCTTTTTGCTTTGCGATGCGGGCGTGGGCCCTCGGTAATGAGTAATTGGCCATCCATTGCCTTGCCTCAAGCAATCCAGGTACACCCGGAGTATAGAACTCCTCCTCCTCATCCTCGTCTGGTTCCGGGGTCTCCGTCGCATCCCGCATATCCATGTCACCAGCCTGAGAACCCTCTCCAGCATTCCCCTCCTGTAGCTGGTATAGAAGCTCCCGTAATCGATCCCTTCGATCCCCCGGCCCCTCACCGAACAACGTCATCGGCTCCCCGAGTTCCCGTAGACGACCACGTACTCGGCCATCATCTGTAGGTACTACAATAGCAGCAGCTTTCTTCTTCCTATCCATCTGGGAGAGAATAGCAGATGCCTTTTCTGGCGCAATTCCTGATTTAAGGTTCTGTGGGAGATTGTAGTCGCGATCGATTGGGACGTTTGCCAGATCAACCATGTCGGAGTCCTAGCATTTTAGGTCTGCATTAGATTCTAGTAATGATGCTAGAAGGGGGCCACTTACATCCTCCTCGACGTAGGCCCTACGGGAGGGATGAATGCCGGACATGATGGGCGAGCTCTGTGGTGGTGGTCGCGGTTTAACAGCTAGGGTAGGGGCAAGTGCAGAGGGAGATGAGGCTGCGTAGATTTTGATGAGTTCTCAGCAAAGGTTTCAAGACCGCAGGAAGGGATCCCGGTCGCTCAACTCCTTGGTACGATATGATAGGCACTGTACTCGAGTACGGAGTCCACCCCACAGCAAAGCAAAGCAAGGCTGTGAGAGGGTGAGAGGTGCACACTATCCAACAAATCTTACATCACCATTACAGGTCAGGGCTTAGGGTCAAGGGTACAGGGCATCTTAATCTAGCCATATCAAATCTAGCCACAGCAATGCCAGCTGCCGGTATTGGACACCTTTTCACTTTCCCGAGCGACAGGCAAGGGTCTCGTTTCGGCGGAAGGCTTCTTTTTCTCCCATCAACCACAGCTTCTCAGCCGCGTCAACTGCTGTGAAAGTCTCCCAATTCATCACCACTTCTCTGGGATAAGGAGAGCCACCTCTCCACTTCGAGACTTCCCCTCCACCACTACCACTACCCTTCGTGTCTTCCTCGCCTCACCCCCTTTCTTCTCTTCTAATATTATTATAATACCACGTAGCCCGCCCGCTTCTAACAACTACAACTTCATTCGTTTTTTCTTTCTTACTCCTATTCTTTAGCTTTTTTTTTCTTCTTGTGCATCTATCCTTTGTTCTTCGGCTAAAATCGCTTTCCTTTGATTTGATTTGAGAACACGTTTATAGATTAGCCATGTCGGATTCCCCTCCGAGTGTTCGCCAGCGCGCCTCGAAGAAGAAGGGTACGGCGCAGGCTGTACTGAACTCTGGATCGGGCTCAAATTCTGAGGACGAACTGCTCAGCAAGAAACAGAAGGTTTCTGCGCCTGTCCCGGGTGCATTCGGTCATGCCCAAGGCCCGTTCCGAATCTGGCTCTTCTTGTTGACCGCTGCGGGCATCATTACAAGATTCTACAAGATTAGCCATCCTAATGAAGTAGTCTTTGACGAGGTCCACTTTGGAAAGGTATGGTGTTGCTAGAGTGATTCTGAGTTGATTGGAATAGTAACTGACTCTTCCCATCATAGTTTGCATCCTATGTACGTTCGTTACTACAATAAACTTCTTAGAATCTCCCAATTATGCATAAAGCTCGAATCTGATTATAGCTTAAACAGTATCTTCAACGAACTTACTTCTTTGATGTCCATCCTCCGTTTGGGAAGCTCCTTTTCGCCCTGATGGGTTGGTTCGTTGGTTATGATGGTCACTTCTTGTTTGACAACATTGGTGATTCCTACATTGACAACAAGGTCCCTTATGTCGCATTCCGCGCCATGCCCGCCATGTTGGGTGCTTTGACGGTCCCAGTGGTTTTTTTGACTATGTGGGAAAGCGGCTACAGCCTTCCTGCTTCAATTGTTGCCGCCGGGTTAGTCTTGTTTGGTGCGTTCCAATCCTTGTGCCACAGCTAAGGTAGAATAATGCTTACAGAATGTGCAGACAATGCGCATATCGGCCAAACTCGTCTCATTCTCCTCGATGCTACTCTTATTTTCTCGATGGCTTGCTCTCTCTTATGCTATGTCCGGTTCTACAAGCTCCGTCATCTCCCATTCAGCCGCAAATGGTGGAAGTGGCTGCTTTTGACTGGTGTAGCTCTATCATGTGTCATTTCCACCAAATACGTTGGTGTTTTCACCTTTGTGACAATTGGCGCTGCTGTCGGAATTGATCTCTGGAACCTTCTTGATATCAAGCGTGGCTTGACAATCCAGGAATTCACCAAGCACTTTATTGCAAGAGCCTTTGGTCTTATTGGAATCCCGTTCTTCTTTTACCTTTTCTGGTTCCAGGTCCACTTTGCCATCCTTTACCGCAGTGGGCCAGGAGATGATTTCATGACTCCTGAGTTCCAGGAAACATTGAGCGATAATATCATGACACTGAACAGCGTTGACATCCACTACCATGACACCATTGTCATTCGTCACAAGGAAACCAAAGCTTATCTGCATTCCCACCCAGACAAGTATCCTTTGAGGTACGAAGACGGCAGAATTTCATCTCAAGGTTTGTCATGCGGGTGATAATTTGTGAGGGGCCAAGCTTACGTTATCGCAGGGCAGCAGGTTACCGGATATCCGTTTGAGGACGTCAACAACGACTGGATTATCATCCCCGGAGATCCGACTCCTGAGGACAGTGACAAAACTTCTATTGTTAAGAATGGCGATCTCGTAAAGCTTCTTCACGTTGTCACCAACACCATTCTTCTATCGCATGACGTTGCCTCTCCCTACTACCCTACGAACCAGGAGTTCACCACCATCGATATCGAGGCAGCCAACACGGATCGCCATAATGACACACTATTCGAGATCAGGATTGAGGGTGGAAAGGTCAAACAGGACTTCAGATCTATGTCTGGTCAATTCAAATTGATCCATAACCCGTCTAAGGTGGCCATGTGGACACACAGCAAGCCCCTTCCTGACTGGGCCTTCAAGCAACAGGAAATCAATGGAAACAAGAACATTCTCCAGACTTCAAACCTTTGGTTTGTTGAGAACATTCCATCCTTGGCGGCCGAGGACCCACGAAATGTCAGGACACCGAAGGAGGTCAAGTCAATGCCGTTCCTCAAGAAGTATTTTGAACTCCAACGTACCATGTTCCACCACAATAACGCATTGACTTCGTCCCATCCCTATTCATCCCAACCTATCCAATGGCCCTTCTTGTTGCGTGGCGTTTCATTCTGGACCAAGAATGATACTCGAGAACAAATCTACTTCCTCGGAAACCCCATCGGCTGGTGGCTTGCGTCTGCGGTTCTTGCAGTCTTTGTTGGCATCGTTGCCGCAGACCAGCTCACGCAGCGAAGAGGTGTAGATGCTCTTGATAGAAGAACCCGAAGCAAACTTTACAACTCTACTGGTTTCTTCTTCCTCGCATGGGCAGCTCATTATCTCCCATTCTTTTTGATGGGGCGACAGTTGTTCTTGCACCATTACCTACCTGCGCATCTTGCCTCTTCTCTGGTAACAGGAGCATTGGTAGAGTTTGTCTTCTGCGTCGAACCACTCGAGACGGAGAAGGTGGGGAAGGACGGAAAGAAGAAGTATACTCCCCGCTCCGGGCCTCAGAGTTTGGCTGCGGCCTGGGCTGCAGCAGTCGTTGTTATTGCAGCCGTTGCCGGTGGATGGTATTTCTTTATCCCATTAACATATGGTAGCCCTGGACTGGACGTTTCCCAAGTTGTTGCCAGACAATGGCTCGGTTATGACCTCCATTTCGCGAAATAGGTTGGCTTAATGGAAGATCGTTTTGGGACTCGTTCATCTCCTTTTTCCTTAGATCTCCAATTTTTCCCGCGTTTATTTACTCCAAGGAGGGCTCTTGTGGAGAATTTTCAATTTGAATGAGGTCGGGGGTAATTCAAAAAATATCGCATTAGGGGACACTTGCTCGTGATGGCGGTTTGGGTGGAGTATAGGGATTGTATGGAGCAAGGTGCACAAAAAAGTGTTGGCGGTGGTGTTTTCTTTCTTTGTATTTTCGAACGAGACCCCGGTTGGGGATATGTTTGGGGTTATCAGCTGAATGATGTTTTTCTTCTGTATGGATACCGAATCCCACTCTCTATTTCACGATATTGATTCGTGAAGATGGAGACCCTACCGTATATAATAATAACCCAACAAGCGAGATGCCCCAGATGCCAAAAGACAGCACTCGTGTGGTGGAGCATAGACACGAGTAAAAGCTATGGGATGGCATCATATTGTGGGCAGCCTACCCGTACCGGTATCACGGGGAAGTCAGTGCAGACCCTGAAATCTCCCTATCCCACTGTACGAGGATCATACCACTTGTAGTAAACAAAAGGCACCGCCGCCTACTCTCCCAGAGGCATTCAGCCCGGGTTTGAAAAGCATTTTTCGAGTGCCAAGTTTCGAGTGAGTCGATGGGATTCGTATGAAAAAGAGGAGTTGCGCACACCAAAGTCCTTCAACTCGATACGTGCCCGGACTCCGGGATTGAATGACTTTTCTAGTGAGGTGGATTACGGTATCCAGCCAATACTGCCGCAGTTTTACCCGAGTACAGTACCGTATGAGCCTGAAGTTTGTACAAGTACCCGTACGCGTACGAATTTGTAGTGATTAGTAATAAACAAAGAGTTGCTTATTAATCCGTGTCCCAGGGCCCCTGGTACTCGGGTACGGACGGCCCAGGTACCGTACTGATAGTACTTGTGTCATAAAACGACTCTGCGCGGAGGGACCACTCTGCAAGCAGCCGGTAGCGAGGACGATCAAGGAAGCGAACACTCCCCCCGCATAATACCGGTTTCATAATACTATCATAATGCTATCATATCACCACAAAGAAGTGGAAAGGGAAAAAAAATGGATGCTCTGTCAATGATCCGTAATCTTCGCTCCAATTATTCGGGCGTAGAGAGTGGTAGAAGGGATTCCGCCACAGATGTTTACCGCGTCGGCAACTTTTGTGGGTGCTCGACCGGTCCCACATAAAGGGGCTGATCGGGGGTGTGCGTGTGTGTGTCCCAAGCTTACGAATAATTACGATATCGCCGGAGAAGCTTAGAGGTCCCGCAACCAAGAGGTGAGTTCCACCAACACCACCACCGGAAGCCGAAGGAAGAGGAAAAAAAAAAAAGTCAGCGATTACGGAGAAAATGGACCCAGGGTTTGGGTTACTGTGGGGTATTATGGAATTATGAGGATATTGTACGATGGCATCTTCTGGTGGCATCTTGAAGCTTTTCTTTTCTTTCCCTTTGGATATATAAAGGATTATGTCCCGGTGCGGTTCTCTCACTTCTTTTAAAATAAGATGCAAATAACTGCTTTCTTTGCTGTCCTACTCAGTATTCTCCTCGCCTATTTCTACTCAACTTCCAGCGAATCTCTGCGCGAGGTTTTGGCTTCCTTGGTCAAGCTTGGTGGTCCGGCAAATACGGATAGTCTCGTTTCCTCCGTGGTCACTGGTCCTATGACGACGACGATTTCTTCGCTGGTTAACAAAGCCACCGTAACTGCAGCTTCTTCTTCTCCTCCATCCTCGGAGGAAGGTACAATCCTCGCACCAATAGTCCTCCCGGAAGAAATGATTGTCGCGCGCACGATTGCGAAGGCCTTCAAGGCGATCGAGAAGGCCGAAGGCGCCGGCGCAAAGGTTCGCAGATCGGTCGGTACCAGTCAATTGAAGAACTTTAGTCCCTTCTTGATGCTCGATCATTTCTCGGTTGGATCTGAAGCGGGGTTTCCGGATCATCCGCATCGGTATGAAACCCGTCAAGTATATGAGAGAGTCTATGTTACTAACGAGAATGCTTTGCTCCTCTCTTACAGCGGTCAAGAAACAATAACCTACCTTCTACATGGCAGCATCGACCACGAAGACTTCGCCGGGCACAAGGGCACGATCCACCCGGGGGATCTACAATTCATGACGGCCGGAAGAGGTATCATGCACGCAGAGATGCCAGGCAAGAATGGCGACGGGTCACCCAACGTGGGACTGCAACTCTGGGTGGACCTGCCCAAGCACCTGAAGTTCTGCGAGCCCCGCTACCGCGACCTCGCCGCCAAGGAGATACCCACCGTCACTACGGATAACGAGAAGGTCTTCATCAAGATCATCTCCGGCACTTCTCATGGCGTGGACTCGGTCCGCGACCTGGCGTACACGCCCGTGTGGATCTTGGACGTTACCATGAAGCCTGGCGCGAGGCTCGAGCAGCAATTGCCAAAGGGCTGGAATGCGTTCGCGTACACGTTGAAGGGTAAAGCCGCTTTCGGAGCCAACGGCGAAAAGAGGGTTGGGGAATTCTACAATGTTGTGTTCGAGCAGGAGGGCGATGGAGTCTTCGCTGCTACGGACGACAACGCAGAGGAGGATGCGCACTTTAGTATGCACTCGCTACTCGAGTACTCAGGTTCACGTGTGGTTACTGACATAATATCTGCCCTACCATAGTCATCATCGCAGGGCAACCCCTCGATCAGCCAGTCATCCAATACGGACCCTTCGTCCTCAACACTGAAGAGCAGGTCTACCAGGCCATGCTTGACTACCAGACTCACAGCAATGGCTTCGAGAGGGCCAAGCATTGGCAGTCGGAAATTGGGAAGAGGATGACGGGTCGTTAAACCCCCCCATTCCTAGGATAGCATAATGCAACTTTAGAAACCTTCTCCTCCTTTTCCTGCTTTATTCGCTGGTGTTTTTTCGTTTGTTTATTGATTGGCATGAGTGGGGGGGGGGGTGGAAATTCTTTTATCCGCCCTCTTGTTTTTCTTCTTCCTTTCTCTGTGGGTTTCCTTTAACTACTACTGGGTTTCGTGGTACCATAGAACGCAAATAAATTCCGTAAAGGCTTATCACTTCCGCATCACCACCATTCTATCACCCATCTTGATCCCCCGGCTCATAAGAGCTGACAAAATAAGGCTATCGCAACGTAGCGCATTAGCCTATTCACCGCCTATCATTCTCTGCATGTATGTATGTATGTATGTATGAATGGATGAATGAATGCACGTACTGTATGTATGCAACACGATATTCACCCAGACGCCAGGATGGAATGGAAAGAAGAGTGAGAGGGTGTGATTCGTGTGGACCTGTCCGAGTGGGGGGGGGGGTATGATAGAAGGCTGCTTGCTTTGTGTTTAGGCAACAGTGGGTTGGTGGTTGCCTGAAGGGCACAGAGGTGTGCGGTGCTATGAGTACATAGTACTCGCACCGGCAGTACCATCTGTACCCGAAAAGAACAGGGATCCGATGAATACTCTGTACCGGAGAGATACTCGTAGAGGGGGGAGGGATTACACGCCCTCCCCGGCCGGAACGGTGGAGTTCCGGGCGGTGATGGAAATGGAAATGTGGCAGCGAGGGTAGGTACCGTATACCACACAAGTTTATCCTTATTGTCAACGAAAACGAGGTAGAGAGAGAAACTTCCCGGAAAATACGAGTATAATGGTTAGTAGAGTATCATACAAGGTTACCATTTCACTCTGGTTGAAGTTTGGAAAACCGGAGGAAGAACGGCATAGACTGGCCCAAGGCTCGCTAGTCTACTGCGCGCACCTTAGGCGTGCGTGCCTGGAGTATCGTACCGGTATGACAAGTTACCGGTAAGAGTTTACCGCGGAAATTTTTGCACCCCGGGGAACACATCACACAAGGATCGGCAGCCCTGTTGCGCAATGGATGGATCGGTTGGACTACTTGTATCATGCCGTATCTACGAGTATCGCTATCGTGGTGGTTTTTGGGTTGCCGAGGCCTGGATTGTGCCTTCTTTGTGCGGGATAGTCTAAGTTAGTGGTAGTGAGTGGTAGACTACCGTACCGTACGAGTACTCGTTATGATTGAGTGCTCGGGCTCTTTTTTTTTTTTTTTTTTTTTCACACTTGAGCGGGCTTATCAACCCTCTCCCCCGCAAACTCTTAATTTAGCCGTTGGTACTTGTGTGATGGGTACCGTACCGGTACCGTAGTATTACTTGTACACCCGGGTACAGGATGAGACAGACAAACGTGCGGGCGGCCGAAGACATTTGTGCGCGATGCGAGAACCTGTATTGTACTCGTATCATAGTACTCGTACAAGTATCATAGAACCGTGTGAACCCTTAGCTCAAGCCTCTCTTCCGCTATTTTCCTGACCCCGCTTTTCACCTTCCTGTTTGGGAAGGTGGTGGCGGTTGTCAACACCATGCTCTACCACCTCAAGATCCCCTCTCCAGTGCTGAACTTTGGAAGCTTCATAAGCCTGGACACCAAACCTTATCGTGAGGCTAAACGAAATTTTCACCCCCTCTGGTGTTGGACTTTGGGTCCCTCTGCCAGATTGTGGTTCCTGTCCTCCCCCTCCCTCCATGGTGGCCACCTCAGCTAGGCTGTGTGAGGTTGCGACTACTCCTCCGCCCATCTGGGTTCTTGTACTCAGTTGGGTTTACTACTTTACCAATGTCTGGGTTACTTGGCAATACATGGTTGGTATTGCACTACCTCCGGTCATGCCCCCGTCCAATCAGCTATATGCGATCACTCCACTGGGGGCCGGCACATCCAGGTCAGTTGCCTTCATTACACGAAGCGAATGCATCATGGTTCTCCCCTATATTCCTAGCTGCTAGCCAAGGCTGGACCAGTTGAAAAATAGGGAACATGGTTTATCAAGGTGGTTTCCTTTGTTGGGTTTCTTTTGTGTTTCCTTTCTCAAGAGAATACAGTGTGGGTTTTCTTGTTGGCTCCTGTCGGTCCTGTTTTGTGCTTTTTTTATTTTGTGCAGAAGGAGCTTTCATGGGTGCGGATGTGCAGTTGGTCCCATATCAGAGGGACTTGGGCTGGCTTGTTTTCCCCTAGGCCTGTTGAGGAGGTTTTTGACTAGCATGTCTAAGGACTAAATCGGGGGGGTGGGGCAGTTATTGCAGAGGTGCCCTTGTATCTAGAATCCATGCTTTAGCCGGACTATGCTCTTATAGTGGAGGTTTGCACCTTTAAGCAAATAGATTCTACAATTTAACAAAAAAAAAAAAGTGTCAACCCTTAGCTAGGCGCAGCGAGACTTGGCAGTAAAAGTTTCCTTAATTTTTGACTATAGTAGGAAGCCAAGCCATGCTGCGCCTCGCTGAGGGTGTCGCCTCGCAGAGAGCTCACACAGTATTTCCTCGGCCACCCGTAAAACCATGAGGCCGCTCAGCGAGGCTTGGCAAATATTTGTATTTAGCTGACACCTATCATACTGAAAATGCGCCTAGCCTTATTGAGGGTAACCTGCTTCTCGGGCTCGAGAGAGAAACTACAGTAAAAACTCATGTTATCCACTATCTCCGTTGACACTGCTATCTCCATGACAGGGCTAAGAGAGGACAAATGTAGATGCCGAGTGACTGGGAGTAATTCCGAAATTAGCTTTCACGTACAGAAAATATCAAATTTACTTTCGAGTTAGCTTTCATCAATACGCTCTATGCCTGTTAAACACTTTTCTTGACTCCATATCACAACATGGTAATTATGACTCCAACCATGTTTTAGTAATGAATTTTCTCTGGTGTCATATGATATGAGTGCTAGAGTTGACTGAGGTGGGTAGCTGAGAAAAACCTAGGAATGACAGATAAATACGAGAAATGAAATGACTTGTAGTTCAAAATATGAATCAAACAGCTGAAAGAAAGGAATCACTCACCTGTATCATAATTCCCATGAAGGTTGTGAGTGTATATAAGAAAACTAAGAGTATAGCAGTTAGTATAGAATGTATTTCTCAATTCCAATCCAAGAAGAAATCCCTATCGCATTCAGCTTTTCATAATTCCTAGTCTTTTCTCTATTGAATACTCACCTTTAGTACATGTATTAATACCAGTATGCCACCGATTCGAAGTGCCAACATACGACGTAGTCCTAAAGCGAAAACTATTAAGGAGCGAAAACTCTCACCACGTGACTTGAAGCCAATTGTTTATCCAGAGCATACATATACCCAAAGGCAGAAAATCCGAGTACTTGTATTCCTTGAGCATTATTGAATTCCTGGACCAAATCCAGGTCAGTTACAGAAGCCAACACAGCAAGAAGCGTCCAACGTTTACCGTATTCCACAGCGCATAATTAGCGATTGGGTTAGAAAAAAGACACAAATAGAGGGAGGGAGAAAGAACTCACTTCTTAGAGTTCAGACATTTGGCGAGGAAGCAGCTAGCCACTGCTGGTGGCCAGAACTAGAGGCCAGGCTGTATACATATTTTCAGGAGTAGCAGGAGCAGGGAAGGATTGTCCGGAGAGGGTGGTTTCAAGTACAAGCAGGATTTCTGTTTCGAGAACTCTATCTAGCGGTTGGCGCTAGCTTATTCCATTTTAGCAATGGATGGTTCTGAGGCTTTCTTGGTCGACATCGAATTAGCTTACGAAGCATAACCAAGAAAGCTCAGAAGGTGCCTGAAAAATACCAAGCAATGGTAATCAATTGGCTGCGGTTCAACAGAAGGAACTCACAGCCCTGGATCAACCTTTTTTTTGATGTTGTTCTCTCTCACCCAGTCGGCTGGTTCGAGTTATCGAATATATGTAATTTAAACGAAATGCCTATCCCTTACGAATATTTGGATGGGAAGACCTACCACACTATCGGGGTAAAGACCATGTAGGCCAAGGGATCTCAGAGCGGATGGGATAAACGTCAAGCCTCTTTGGTGCTATGTGTTTTTGCGGATAGAGTACCTCGAGTGCCTCTAATGATTATCTTTAGAGGAAAGGGAATGAGACTTGTAAATGAAAAGTCCAAATATCATCACCAGGTGCTAGTAGAATTCAATAATAAAACTTACATGAATGATGGCTTGTGTTAGGCGGAGACAACTTGATAGACTTCAAAGTTGTCTAGGCCAATCGAGATTCGTTTTTGTAGACGGAGATTGTCTAGAAAGGCTCGGACTTGGCTCGTTTCGTTTATAACTACTAGGAGTGAAGTAAAGTAGATAAAGTAGGATAGAATTGTAAAAACAATATTATATTATTAAGGTCTCTTCTCCGTTGCTTGATGATGTCTAAAGCTTGTGAGGCACTTCGATATATATATTCCGTGTCTGAGTATTCGCGGACTACATCTATTTATCATACAACTATGTACTTCTTCAACCGTAATTCGCAATGTCGAGTTTTCTTCCAAGGTGCGAACACCTGTGGACCCTAAAAACCATCACACCTTTCTTGAGATTTACGATATTTCTTCTTAGGAAACATACTGTCCCCAATAGTAATATATCCGATTAGCAGAGTCTTTAGACTTATAGCCTAGTTCTTAGTCGAACTGAGTTGGCTCCAATTGTCTTCGCTATTGATAAAATGATCAGTCTTATCCACGGCTATATCTGCAAAGGTGGTCGTCATTACAACCATCATAGGTCATTTGATTCCAACCCTTTGTAACTCCATACCCAACCGATAGATTTTCTTTAGATGACTTCCTATTCACTCGCAGGAAGCCACTCCACTAGACTGGTAATTAATCTCTTGGTTGGCAACCTTTGGTTGCTCTCTGGGTAGTAGGTTTCAGTAACCATTGTAGTATTTAAGAATCACCCCATGACTACAACTTGTTCCGAAACCCAGTTGCAATACTCCGTGAAGTTCATTAGCTTCTTTGGTAGTGTCTTTTGGAGTTCTACTCTTCTGGTCTATGCAATTGTATCGGTCTCTAGTAGAGATCCTTTACTATTTGATACCAACTCATTATGCGAAATGGTCCCGTTACTTACACCCCATGCCAAAGGTCTCATACTTTTGAAGCCTAGTAACTCTCTGAGTAGTTGACGGAATTACTCCGTTCTACTTCCCTGGCCTAGCCGAAGGTCCCCTCTCATTTATCCTGCGAACAGGATCTGGTCGGACAGACGGCGGCGACATATAGGGTGTTATTCTAACACCTTTAATTCTGTGGTAATGTAGTCACAGGATGCAACTGAGATTGATATATGTGATGACGCGTGGGCTCCGTAAGGGAGCCGGAGGCGGGTGTTGGAGACCAGAGATTCCGATTCCAAGTGGGGTTACCCTACTTAGGATGGTTCCTAGGTATCGGGTTCTGGTATTCCTAACAGCTTGTTTTTACGTTTTATTGAGAATCCCCTAGCTCCTGTTCTCCAAGGACGACCAACACTATTTGTTATTGATTTGATGGAGTTACATAAGACCCCAGCGGTTCTTAATAAGCTACAAACATACACTATCACCCCCTCCCTCATCCCCGGTAGTTGTACAAGCCTTGTTCAGCCCCTTAACGTCTCGATTAATAAGCTGTTTAAGAAGATGATGCGCGAGCATACCGATCGGGCAATATTTACAGCAGAGACTATCGACAGTGTTCACTGCTGGACAGTAAGCCAACGGCGCATTCTTACAACCTCTTGTGTGGACGAAGTTTACAACAAATTTCACTAAGAGAAGGGAGATATCATTCAATGCGTCTTTCGGAATGTTGGGCTGTCGCTCCCAGTAGATGGGAGCCGAGATTCCGAGGTGGATATCAAGGGTTTTATGGGACTACAGATTGGAAACTGGAGAAATGATATTGGGACTGTATCTGAAGAGACTGAGATCTCACTCTTCAATGATGATAATCAAGACATTGAATTTGTAGACAGTTGATAATTTGACTTTTTACTCTTTTTTCTTTGTATTTGCTAACTTGACGTTAAAACTCTAAAACAATCTAGTGCGTCATTTCACCTTCTTTCCTATTATGGCAAGCGAAAATATGGCGTACCCCCCCCTGTATTGATAATCTCACACAAGGCGGAGATAGTGGATAACTCGAGTTTTTACGGTACGCGAGTAGGAGAGGGTCAGGGCGGGGATAAAGGCTTTTGCTTTGATAGCTCCATGAGCGGCTGAGGTGAAACTTACAATTGCGTCAAGATCGGACCCCTGAAAAGGGTTAGTCCTGGCTAGAAAGAGTTAGTCTATGGCGTGTTTATTGCGGTTTTGAGACAACACTAGGGTATAAAAATCTTATTTGAACGTACAAGTACGAGTACAGTACCGCACAAGTCAGGCAGTTCTCGTCAGTTGGACTAAATTTAATACGATGGATGGGTGTGATACTTCCTCTGTTGTCGCCATGACCTTTTTACAATTACAAGTAACAGGCAAGAATTATCCGAACATGAGACAACGGTTATTTGTCTGTTAGCCATATATTAAACATGTCTCATGTTCGGATACTTCTTGGCTGTAACCTGTACTATCTCTCCAATAGCGAACGGGAGTGTGCGGCACAGGTAACTCGTCGGGGGGTTGGACGAAATGCCGGAATTTTTTTTAGCAGATATCATACTGCAAAAAAAAAAAAAAAAACCCGGTTAAATATTATCGATTGAGCAGCGGAAATCACCTTACAGAACCCGTACTAGGCCTAGCCAGGTAAGTTAATGGGGTATCATAACGGGGACAAGTGTCATACAAAGTACGGTATGATACCCGGGGAGATATTTAGGTTAACCTAGCCCTAACTGTTCTCTAACTTTCCGGATGGGCACTTGCGCAATCCATCGGTCTGGGCGTTAACAAATTCTTCGCCTGGCACGCTAGGGCTAGATTTGGCAACAGTTTATCTGAACGTGGTTTCGAAAAATTGAATTTTCAGTCTTTTCTGCCCGCCAATGACTCAGCACTATCAGTTAGATTTGGGCCGTTTTTCCCGTCGCAAACAGTTCTAGGACGGGCTTAGCGTGTACAGTGTCGAACCCGATTGTTTCAGACACCAAGGGATAATTTACCGCGTGTGGAGCACTCTATCATACGGTATTCCTTCTTAGGGGCGTTATTAGGTCACTTGATTGAGTACCATACGAGTACTTGAGCAGAGGCCACCAGGAGGCCGCGGATCAAATGAATTTTTATTGTGTAAGCAACAGGGGAATTCTTTTTCCTTTGTTAGACTAAGTCAGTGGCATTGCTTTTACGCACATGCTGACATAAAGCAAACACCTTCCGGGGCACAAATCGCTGCATCCGGGAAGTGTTTATCTGCCGAACTCTTGGCGTGGTGGCTGGAGCAAGCACCGTTTTCTCTGATTGCTCGAGAAGGGAAGTTGGATAGACTTAGCCTTCCTCATAGTTTAGGTAAATTTATCATATCATACTCAGTAAATTACCGTATGATACAAGTAATTTACTGCTGCGAGGCCAGGATTTTTTAGCATGTTAACCTGAATTAACCAACCGCTCACCAACTGCTTACCGTACTCGAGTACCGATACCGTACCGTACGATATGTGCTTGAAGACATTGTCGCCCTCTTGAATTTCACAAGTACCCAGCAGGGCGAGCAAGTATGACAAAGGCTGAAGCGAGCTTGTGCCACGCCCCAGCATCTTCCTTTTACTCCCTGAAAGGGACCAAGCCTTATTATTGTAAAGCGCCTACCGGTACTCCGCGTGTACCTGTAACCCTCCCAACTCGCGGTCAAAGAATCCACGATAATAAAGAAATGTCTTGGCGGGTGGGCGATTAAGCAATGGGTTTTTTTATCCCTGAAACGGATGCTGCGCGCCTTCTCACTTGTCAATGCTGCTGGTGGGCCTGGATGAGTTGTGTGTGTGTGCTCACGGTGCTTGCGCTTGGATTTTTGGGATTCAGGCTTATCTTTGGTGTGGATGGGCGGAGCTCTAACTCTTGACAAACAAGAATTTACCGGGGGGTGTTAACTTGGGCTATTTTAACTATGGATGGGTAGAAAAAGTTAAGGTAGAAAGTAACGTTATGTTTGGGCTCGATCGAAATGTCTTGTGTGGAAGTTGTCTGCGAGTAAGCTGGGTCCTAACTCGACCGTACGGTTGCATCCCGCATGCGGGATGGGTTGGATTTTTCTTGTTTCCACAATTCTTCTCCTTCTCCTCTTCGGTTATCCATCCAGAAGCTCTGATTGCAACATTTGATTCGGTTAACCGGTACTAACTGTGAAAAAAAAAACCCCGGTACGATCTGGGGATTCCCTCGTCCTCTTTTCTCAATCGTTTGCTCGCCAGTCTAAGATGAGCGATTTGATTCGGCTCTATTCTGGAGGCTCTGCGGAAGGAACCGAATCAGTGGGGAAAAACCGTAGCATCCACAAGTTATCATAATTGGGACAGATCGTCGCCGGTTTGGGTCATGTGTAGGACTGTTATGGTATAGCGCTAGATTGTTCCTTGCTGGGGTAAAAGGGTTTCTAGATTGGGGTGGATAAGACCACGGCGGCTTGTTCTTCCATAATTCAATAAATTTATCCCGAGCTCGTTCTTCCCCTGTCAGAGTGTTTGTGATCTGGGGTCCCCCCCCCGTGTGATACGAGCACCCGGAAGGGGGGAAGAGAAGGGTGTGTGTGGGAGCTTGGAGCAAACGAGCATCCGGGACTCATTGTACGGTGAATCCCGTAATTGTCGAGTTCTGGTCGCGAGAGAGAGAGCAGACGCCGTGCTGCTGTATTCGCAAGCCCACACACACCATTCTCACACTCTCCCCCCCTCGAGACCCCCCCCGGCTTCCCCGGCGATTGTCGGCAAAATTTCCAACCTGCGACCCTCAAGCGGCCAGCCTCCCCATTTGCCCTCCTCCGGATCGAGCTGTCCAGCTACGGTCATCTCAGTTTAGAAATTATTTTCTGTCGTCTCCCATCCTCCTGCCTTTCCTTTTCTCCCTTCAGTTTGTCTCCTCCTCTTCTTTCCTCCTCCCTCTCTCCCTCTTTCCTTCCTTCCTTCCTTCCTTCCATCCCATCGCACCTAACCTCCTCACTCACTTGTTCACTCCTCAACCCTACGCTACTATTCCCACTCTCTCCCTGTCTCTTTTCTCACCTCTTTGACAAACATTTGCCCTCTCACCCTCATACCCTCACCTCCTCAAGCAAACAGCCCAACAATCAAGCAAAAAAGATGCAAGCTACTACTCCTCAAGCTTGTAACCAATTCCTGGCACACAAGTCTGCCGCCTCGTATCCTAAAAGGCACCTTTACACTGGCTTTGCCTGCGGGATCGCTGACCCCGACTGGGAATTCATCGATAGAGAATACAGCAACTCGTGCCATGAAACGGGCGCCGCTCTCGCCTACAAGTTTGCATCCGAAGAGAACCCTATGCAACTCCGTAATGACACAGGAGGCATGGACGACGACGAGTTCAATGATGAGGACGAGGGCGTTGATGTCGTCTACCCGTACCAGCAGTACATGAACAAGGCTGCCACCGTCGCTTCAGAAGAGGAGATGAGCGATGTCCCCGAGTGTGAAATGTCTTCATCTCATGAGGGTTCCGTCATTGACGATGATGTCCTTGATAGAATGGACGCTGTTGCTAATAGCGGCTTTGGTACCGGTGCCTTTTCTCATTGTCCCGTCGTCCTTACATCAGATGGCGGCGACGAGGTTATGGAGATCGAAATGGGCATCCAGATGGACGATATTTCCGTCGATAGCTCGAAGAAGAGGAAACGCTGGGCAGACGACGACGACAATGCTCAGCAACAGATTCACCAACTACAGTATCCCACACAGACTAAGTTTGCGGGTGCTCCTTGGGGTGCCTTGCAACAGAACAACGCCAAAAGGGTAAGAGTAGTCTATACTTAAAGGATAGGATCAAGCTCGCCGGAATTAAAATAGGGCATATAATTATCCTCCCCCCTCCTTTCCCCCCTCAGGTAAGTAACGGAACGATTACGTGGAATACTTCTCACGAACCCTTGGTTTTTTTTTGCCGCACTTATTTGTCGTATTCTTTGGGCTCAGGAACTGGTTAACCGGATAACTACTGGGGATAGAGAACCAATGTTTCTCAATTTTTGTTTCTTCCAACTCTTGATTTTTTGCACCCATTCAAAGAGTTTTTCTTTTCTTATCTCCCTTTATACTCTCACATTTCCTTTTTATCAAAATTTGGTCTTTTTACCTTTTTTTCCCTCTCCCGTTCTCCTTGTCCCCCCCCCCTCCTCACCATCCTCTTCCTCCTCTGTCCATCTCCCCCTTCCATGATCTCTTGTATTCTTTTTTATTACTATCCCATCATCTTCGGTTTTGGGCATGGGTTTTGAGTTTTTTTCAACGGAAGGTTTTCTTTATCATTCACCAGTCAAGGGGAACGGTTTCTTTTCGGGAAAATATCTCTGGAACAAAAAAAGGGGGGCAGAAAAGAGGGAAAAAGGACCATTTGTACATTATTTTGCGAGATCATATTTGAAAAAAATCGCCAAGTTTACAAACGAAACGAATATTGAGCAGCGCGCAATTGATCACATACCATGCATAGTTAGTCCTGCGCAGGAGTGTTGAGGGTCGGAAAGGGCTCTCTCTATGGGGGCCAACCGCTCACCAAGCAAGCAAACAGGGAATCCTATCGTACCTCAGGCTCCGGCAGCGAAAGTGATAGAGGGCAACTAATGATAAGGTCCCGTGTTTTACTTTCCCTCCTTTCCCTTCTCTCCTCCTTTGGAATGATACTGTCAGGCACTGGGATTGCCCTAGTCATTTCGGGGATGATCCGTTTCTACGGTAACACGGTGCGCAACCTTCTCTCCATCTATGATATGGATAAATGATAAAACTCTTTTTCACTTCTACACATTTTCTTGTTCATCCGCCCAGAGTTGTGCTGCTTCGCGCCAATTACCGCTTTTGGCGATTGCAGTTGAGAATGACCCTACTGGTTGAAGAATTGGTGGATGGATGGAGGGTTTATCGCAGTGGGTGAGTTAAATTATTGGCTCCGGACGTTCGGGGTCAGTTGGCTGGGTGATTTGGTTGTGTTTGGCTTGGAAGGGCGGGAGACGTTAAGCTAAGGTCCTGTGACTTGTTGGTTCATTAGGGGGGGGGGGTAATTTAGGGTTCGGGGTTCGGGGTTGATTGTTGGATCCGGGGTATGATACTTGGGGATGGATGGGAGGATTCCAGAGCCATGAGTGGTTAAGGTAGCAATTGTGGGGGTGTTTGGAAGGTATTTTGTCTTGTTCTGTGTATCTTTGATGTGAGACGATTCTGGTGAGGGTTTGAAGGTTCGACGGCAAGTTCCGCTGGAAAAAACGTCATTACAGGTATCAGGGTTACCACAAAACATTTTCCCACTCGAGATAAGTTAGGTAGAAGCTGCCCACGCCGACCAACATCACACATAATTCCTACACCACGATATATCTCGTCCAAATCATGGTATTATTATTAACAAGGGTGATAAACCCGCGCTTCTCCCCCCTCCTCCGCCGAACCTTCACAACCAAACGCCCACCACCGCCCCATTACTACACCCTCTTCCCGCGCTCCCTCCCCTCGGGCCCACCACCCTCGGGCCCGTTCATCCTTTCCCCGACCGTCCTGAAATCCCTCCACCGCGAATTCCTCAAATCCCAGCAATCCGTGCATCCAGACCTAACGCAGGACCCGTCGCTAAAACTCGCGGCGCAGAACACGAGCGCCTACCTGAACACCGCGTACAGGACGCTGGGAGACCCGCTACTGCGTGCGCAGTACTTGCTGCGGATGCGCGGGGTGGAGGTGGAGGATGAAGCCGGGAGCGTGGAGGATACGATGCTGCTGGCGGAGGTCATGGAGGCCATGGAGGAGGTGGACGAGATCGAGGGTGACGATGAGGGGGGAGGGAAGGGTGGGGAGAAATGGCAGAGGGCGTGGGGGGTTAATGAGAGTAGGATTCGGGAGGAGGTTGATGGGTTGGAGGAGGCTTTTGGAAAGGATGACTTGGAGAGGGCCGGGGCGGGGTGTGTCAGGTTGAGGTATTGGGGGAATGTTAAGAGGAGGTTGGAGGATGTTTGGGAGGGGGGGAGGGGGAGGGGTGAGAGCAAGGGATGAATAGATGGATAGATAGGGGGGTGCGATACCAAAAGTTCTTGATTCGCTGTACCTTTTTGAGTTTCTTCGGGGGGGGGGGTAATAATAGGGAGAAACAGAGAGTGTGTGGAGGACTCTCTTATGGCTGTACAGTATTCCGTATTGTGCTAAAGCTTGTCGTCGTGTATTGTATGAGGATAACTATGGGGAACCGTACCAGTACCCGAGCATTCTACGCTCCGCGATAGAAACTTCATTTCCCTCCTCAAGTATAGACAGTACATCACTCTATCCACTCGTCAAAATATCAACATCAATATCCAGCCCGGGGGGTTTACGTTACACCCACAAACAAACCCTCCTCCACCATATCATCGAACCTCACTCGCGCCTGGAGCCTTGGCAAACCCGTAAATCCCCGAGCCCTCCTCCCCATCGGCACAGTGCGTACCGTACCGCACACGGTCATAATCCTGCAGTCCTAATCAAAACCGGAAAAGTGCTAAAGATAAATACCGTACTTGGGGGCTATCTCTTGACCTTTCTTTTTTTCTCCCGGCTTGGATACCCTCAGTTTACGTTTACCATTACCGCAGGTTGTGTTGCGTTCGGCGAATCGTAGTCGACTTTACAAGTATGATCTGATACATTGCGTTACTTAGGTTGGCAAGTTGCCGCGGGCGATTCAGATTACCGTACGAGTACTATTATTGTAAGTTCAAACGTGGTTGAATTTTTCTTTCGGTTTACCGTAAACCGTGGGTTCTTTCCCCCCTTGAGACGTTCGGTCTGTTTTTTTGCAAGGGGGGGGGAAAGGTTTTACGGTATTGTACTGGTAACCGTATGATAGGTACCTTTCGCTGTTTCATGGATGGGAAACTTGGTCGCTGATCGTGCACGGGGATAGTTATTCTAGTCTACTGTAATAACTTGCGAAAAGCTTCCGGCGAGGCGCTACCATAGCTTGGCGGATAATGGAATTTTTGGTACTCGTATCGTGACGAGTTGTTGGTGGGTGTACGGAATCTTTCATCGGTTTTGAACCTATTGGGGACTTAGTCATGGGGGGAGTTTTGAGGTTGCTTTTACGAGTAGGAATATCATACAAGTACCTTAGTTTTTCATTTCAAGGTTGAGTGTCGTTAGCTTGATATGATACGGTATGCTTGTAAGCTGGGACGGCTTATGTAAGCGGGACTCAAATGGGGATAAACATGTGACGAAAAAATCCCCGCATCCCTGAGACAAAGGTTCTTTCTAAAATATCATCTCACATTTTTTTTTTTTTTTTTTTTTTTTTTTAATAACTACCCACATTACTCTTTCTACATACAAGTAACAAAAACTCGATAGAAATCTTTTTTCAATAAACCGATGATTGGTACAAGTAAGGGGGTGAGGGGGACATTTAGCAACCTCCATAATTTGTTTTGAAACCAGGTCTTGGCATTTCAAGTCGTGGTGATATTAAAACACCGGTTAATTACAAGTACTCTTGTGATTTAGAGAGGGATGTAGTTCCTTGGGGTTTTGATTGGCTGGGAGCTAAAGTGATAGGGTATGTTTGGAGGAAGGGAAAAGTTTTCTCTCTGTATGTAGGGAGATTTTCTCCACCTGTCTTACAAAGTAGATAGCAACAACAATGAACTCCACGAGACGTGAATAGAGCAGAACAAGTCTTAGTGTGCGAGTGAAGTACACCGAGTGATAAGACTTTCCTTGAGAGTGCAAGGACCAATTGATATGAATTTCCTGAAAAAAATTGATTTTGTTTCCTACTTTTTCGTTTCTTTTTCTTTCGAACCTACCGTTTTCGACCTTTTCACATTCGTTTTCCCGGACCGAATATTTCTTTTCCTTAGTACTCGTAAAAAAGGGGGTTTAAAAAAATAAATGCCAAACCTACTTTGTCAAAGAGTCAAAATAATGCAAGTGCCAAAAAAAAAACACTCACAAATATCTACGGTATTCCAACCTTCCTCTGCACCCTCCCCCCCGGTCATAAGTACCGTATCACAGGGCCATCATTGGCCAACACGATACCGTAAAGTAACCCTTCCATGCTTACCGTTACCTCTTTTTTTAACTCAGAGTTACCGTAACCAAAACCCCCGATTCATCGCAACTCGCGCCTCCCCCCCCTACTAGTAGATTCGTTCCGGTTACTAATCTTGATTCTGATTCATCCGGTGCTCATGGTTCTTTCTTTCTCTCCCTCTGAGATGTGAGATGTGAGCGGGAGAAAGGGAAGAGAGCTTCCATCTTCTTGACTTGATATGTTTTGGTGCGTGTCTGTATGTATTGATTGGTGCAAGACTGATGATGGGAGGGAGTCGTAAGTAAGATAGTCTAACGGTAAGGGATGATGATATTCGAGTACGGTAATTTAAAAGTACTGTACTCGGCACGGTAAGCTTTGTGTCGTATTATATTTTTTGGTTGGTTGATGGGATCGCGACTGGGATGGTTTAACTTACGTACTCGGGTACAGTAGCGGTAGTCTGTCTGTTTGTGAGACGGTAAGGCTACGGCGCTTTGAGTGTCAAGATGAGTTTGGACGTCAAATGTGTTGAAACAGTGAGAACGGAATGATGGTTTTTGGAACTGGTTGAGTGACGAGAAGAATAATGAATTGCTTAATTGACTTCTCAGTAGAGAGCAAACTACCCAGACTATCTACTGTTGAGAGCGAGACACAAGTTGCGAGTAAATCAACAGTAGGAAGTAAACAGAAACAGAGAGAAGAAAAGAAAGGCAAGGAGGTATGTTCAATAGTACCAATATTGTAAGGGGGTTTTGAGATGGTGATCAAGACTAATGCAAGGAGAAAATCAATAGTGCGAGTGATACTACGGTAGTGCCAGAAGCATATTTCAACAAAATGTTAACTTAGGTCTCGAGTGAGATGTTATGCCTTCTAGTTGAGAAGGGAATGATTCGAACCGTCAAGGTTAATAATAATAAAAGTAATAAAAGCGCAACCCCGACACAGAGAGAATGGAACGCCAGCCGCAATGCCCCCCCGGATAGATATACAGTGTACAGTACAGCAGTGAGGAAAACGAAAAAGAAAGAGGGGAAAAAAAAGGCGATGGTATGTTACAACTCGTTCAAAGCATCATCTGATAGCATTGGAGCGACGATGGAGATGTCCAGCAACTCCCTTGCGAGCTCAGGTGTTGGTATTGCCAACTGCGGCGGCGCTCGTAATGGGTCGTCCTGTAGAGGAGTTTCCAAGTCGTTGCCGGCGGTGGCTAGTAACCAGAGAATGACGAGGATGGAAATGAAGCCCCATAGTAGCCTCAGCCGTCCTATATAGATTATCCCCACCAAATTAGCTTCTCTCTCCCTCCCTTCCTAGCCAATCAACCTACCAACCAATCGCCACACCAGGAAGAGGGAAGGACATGAAGGGTAGGCGGGGGGATAATTACTAGAAGCCCTCTTCTTCCAAACCATCTCCATCTCCTTATGCCTATCGATCCTCTCCTGAACCTTATCCAGCCTCTCGTGGTACTCCCTAACCCGTTCCTTCTGCGCTACCAGCCGTTCTCGCAATAATTCAATGTTCCATAGCTCATCCTTGAACCTCTCTATGACTCTAATCTGCGACCTGAACTCGCTCTGGCAGCGGGCGTCTGCTGCGTCGAATTCTTGAACCGTAGACTTTGCTACCTTGCCCAGTTCTTGCAGGTGTGAGGCTAGGCCGGAGAGTTCGTGGAGTTTTTGGAGGACCGAAGAGTAGGTTGTGTCTAGTCTTTGCATCTGCTTTTGGCTGGAGGTTTGGAGGGTGGTAATTGCGCAGGAGAGTTCCCTAGTTGGGTGGAGTTGTTAGGTCGGGAGTTCTTGGAGGGGAGGGGGATGGGGAGCAGGGGGAACGCACTCTCGCCCTGTATTGGAGACGGTGGGCTTGTTCCTCGGAACGGAGATCTTGCGCTCCGGCATTTCATGGTGCAGTGAGCCTTTTCTGCTGGCTGGTAGCGAGGCCGAGTGTTGATTTGCTTGATATTCGTAATTGTAGGTCTCTACATCTGGTGAAGCTGCCGTGGCTTTCGGGCGTGAGGTATCCTCACGGCTTCGGTGGAGGTGGAACGGGAGGGATAAAGAGGGGCTTGTATGTAGGATTTGGTGACGTTTAGATGATCCCAGATTTCCGGTATTGGATCGCATTAGTGGTGGTTTCTTCCCTCGCTCTATAAGGTGGTTAAAATCCATAACAATAGGGGGTATACTCGTATATTGTCCTTCGCCAGAGCTTATACCATACTCGAGTATTTTGTTCTGTGAAAGGGTTGAACGGGAACAGTTCAGTATGGTAGTCTAGGGCGCATTACTATGGCCGCCCTTGATTTGGGTTAGCTTCCAGAATAACTTAGCGTATTGTCCTGGAGCCGCGCCAAGACACAGATAATGATAACCCTATTGCCATCTTCAATTTCTCCAGCTTTCTCCCTCCCCCTTTCAATTTCCACAAACAGCGAGCCATCGATAAACCTCGGGCTTTCTCTATTTCCCCAAATCATCCGCTATGTCGTCCTCCAAGCGGAATCCGGAAAAGCAAGCAAAGAACGAATACATCCCCCACTTTATCGCCAAAAAGCCCTTTTACCTAGACCACGACACTGAAGGAGACTATCGTGAGTCCATCTCAATTAATTACCGTGCAACCAACTAAACTAACAATCTAAAAGTCGAGCATCAGCGTCTTCAGAATAAGAAAGATCTCGACCTCGCCAACCAAAAATGGTACGACAGGGGCAAACGTGCCGGCCCGGCCGCCACTAAATTCCGCAAGGGAGCCTGCGAGAACTGCGGAGCAATGACGCACAAAGCGAAAGACTGCCTCTCACGGCCACGGAAGAAGGGTGCTAGGTGGACTGGACAAGACATACAAGCCGATGAGATAATCCAAGAAGTGGAACTAGGCTGGGATGGGAAGCGGGACCGTTGGAACGGCTACGATTCGCACGAGCACAAAAAGGTGGTGGAAGAGCACATGCGCATGGAGGAACTCCGCCGTGAGAGCGAGCGGAAGAGCGCCGAAGATGTGGAAATGGAAGGCGGGGGAGACGAGGACAAGTACGCCGAGGAATCCGAAATGCCCGGGCAAACGTATGACGCTGCAAGCCGCATATCCACCCGGAACCTGCGGATCAGGGAGGACACGGCAAAGTATCTACTCAATCTAGACCTTGACTCGGCCAAGTACGACCCGAAAACGAGAACCATGGTCGACCGCGGCGCAACCCAAGACCAAGCTGCCGCCCTGGTCGAAGAAGACAACTTCATGCGCTCTTCTGGAGACGCCGCAGAATTCGAGCGCCTCCAGCGCGCAGCATGGGAATCTCGGGAACGCGGTAACAAGACGAAGATGCACCTGCAAGCAAACCCCACCGAAGCAGAACACATCAAGAAGAAAGAGCAACAAGCCGCGGAGGAAAAACGTGCGAGGGAAAGGAAAGCGCTTCTGGAACGCTATGGTGGCGAGCAGCACTTGGTGGATAAACCACCCGTGCTTGAAGAGGAGGAGAGGTATATCGAATACACCGCCTCCGGCCAAGTCAAAGGCCGGGAGAAGACCACCGCGAAGTCAAAGTACACGGAGGACAAGCTCATCAATAATCATACCACCGTTTGGGGATCTTGGTGGCAGAGTTTCAAGTGGGGTTTTGCATGCTGTCATTCTACCGTCAAGAATAGTTACTGCACGGGTGAAGAGGGGATTAGAGCAGCTGAAGAGGCGAACAAGTTGCGCTTGGGATTGATTGAGCCGGTTGCGCCGAGGTGGGTCGAGCAGAAGCAAGAGGAGCAAGAGGAAGTAGCGGAGGAGGACTCTGTGAAGGATAAGTCTAAAGGAAAGGACGGAGAAGATCACGTTGACAGGGGGAAGAGAAAGCTCAAGGAAATGAGAGACGGTGTCACGGAGGAGGATATGGAGCAGTATCGGAAACAGCAGAAACTATATAGCGATCCTATGGCAAACTTTGTAGACACGGTATAAGTACTCACTTTCCTTCCTTCTTTCTGGCTCAAGTATTTTCATTCACTTTTTTTTTGTGCGTATGGTGTGTTTCATTCAATCGGTGTACGGTATTTCCACTTTGTCTATTAATTCACGATTAAGCCCGCTAGGTTAGAAACAAGAGAAACAAGTAAAAAGGGTAAAGATCTCATGATAATAATGCAAACAACAAGCAAGTCCGTTTCCAGTATTCCCGTGCGCCGCCTTCTAGTCTTCTGCGCAGCTCCTCATTGAAGCCGAGCTGTATTTCGTGATGAAACTGTCAGTGATACGATAGGCTTGGGGGGCATAAGGATAGAATGCGGGTAAAGACATACCTCGGTCCCAACCGCAGACTCGACTTTACCTGCGAGACTTGTGATGCCGGAGCTACCGGCGTTAGCACCTTTTCTGAGGAGCGCCTCGTCAAGGTAGAGTGTGTCGAAGAGGAGCTGGATTGCCCAGTCCTTTCCAATGACTTTTCGGGAGTAATCGACATCGTGGCTGTTCAATTTTACCCTAGTTGTGGGCTCTGGTGCCCCATTTGGTTTAATGTCGCTGGCCTCATTGTTGTTGGTGTCTGCTTCTTTGAGCTCAGATTCGTGATTCGGATGCTCCAAATTATCGCCACTCTTGACATTGCCGTTGGTTTCGGGGTCGTGCTCGAGTTGATTTTCGTGCTCGGGTTCGGGCTCTGGCTCCTTTGGTTGTGAGTTGGTTGATCCGTTGGTTAAAGTAGCCTCTACCATCTCCCTGTCCCCAAGAACACTCTCCAGGACTTGCCAGAGATGTTTGCTGGCCCGGCCCTTGATGCATTTCACAGCCATTGGTGTCCAGACATCGTCGCCGACTTTGTGCATGTCTGTCACCAGGTCGTGTAAGAATTTGAACACCAGTGGGGAAGGCTGTACAGGTAGTGGCGGTGTTCCTATTGTTCGATAAAGGAGTTAGTATGAGTATAAGACAAGGCACTAACTGGTATTAAATCACCACCTTCCCACAGTGTTTTTGAAGCCAGCTTCCCACTCCACTTTCTGTGTTCTAAGAGCCTCTTGACATTGGTGAAGGACTTCTTGCCTACACTTATGGCAACAAGTACATGTAGTCTAGGAACGAGTATTGTTCCAAACCAACCGAGGGCTATCAGTGAGTCGTCGTCTCTCTTGGGCGGGTTTTGTCTGATTTGCCTGATTGCTCTCAAGAGGAGTGCTGCACGCATCGTTGTCGCTATATTTGTGATACGCCCGTAAGTCATACTTTTCTCATAGTGTTTCGTGGGAACTATACCTTTCTCTTTTTTGTCCTCCTTTGCTTCACTGGCCTCAAGGCGTTCCACAAGCTCTCCAACAGTCTCCTGTAAATTGCCGTACGCTGTATCTAATGATTCACCCATCTTCTTCTCTACATATACCGCATCTTCTATACCTTCCTGGATCCTCTCCTCTTCAGCGTCAAAGTCGTCTTCATCTTCTGCTAATGAGGCACTTGGAGTCTTGAGCCCTCTGACAACGGCGGCGCTGTCTACGATGCTAGAAAGCCATTTTTCGTGCTTCCCCCCAAAAGCCTTAACCGGACTATCTCTACCTAGAACACGTGACTGGACTGCCTCCTTAAATGCGGATCCACCATTTGCGAGGCCCATTGACGATAACGAACCAGACCAAAGACTGACGCTGTAGTCTGTCAAAACGAACGAGGTTATTTTAGCATTATATTTATTATTGGAGTTTAGGATACTACCTTTACCCACACCGTCAACACCCTCCAATAGCTCACCAAGCTCATGGCCAATAGCTGCAAGACCGTCAATTTTGATTCTTAATACCTCTGCCAATCTGGCGGTAGTAAGTTCTCGAAACTTCTCTCCTTTTTGTAAGAATTCCCTTCTCCCCTTTCTTCCTGTTCTCCACAGCCCGAGAATATTTTCTCGTAGAGCCACCAGCTCCCTGATATCCTCAATACCCTGCAGTGATTTCTCGAAAGCAATGTTTAAATTTTCCAATTCCTTTGTTGCCCATGATTTCCCTTGTTCTACCACACGAGACCTCTCTAGATCATCATGGCGAACCCATGGGATAAAATCTCGAACCTGCTCCGGCAGCCACCGGCCATTGGAGCCTAATCCTAACTCAGCCAGGCCAAGAAGGTCTGGGTCTTGCAAGAGAGATTGGGATTTCAACTTTAGTAACGACTCACTTAGAGTTTTTGGGAAGAGTCCTTGAGCATTTTGTAAAGTCTGGTTGAACAGCAATAATGCTTTCAGTATAGCTTCCGCTGAAGGAACTGATGATTCTGTTAGGATTGAAGTTATAGTCGTCGAGCGGACAAAAAGAAAATGGCGTAATACGTCGGCGCAGGAGGAGGTTTTCGATAGAGAGAACGAAGAGAGGGCTGATATGAGTTGTTCGATAGGAAGATAGGGCGCCGAAAGGAGAGTATCGATATGCTGAAGGATAAATGCACGGAGGGCCGCGAGTTGGGTTTTGAGAGAGCTTATGAGAGGTATTGAATCCTGAGTATGTAATTAGTGTATTTAAGCTACGATTTTGGATAGGTAGTCTTCACCTGCTGTGAGAGTGATTTTAGGAGGAGTCGGGAGACGACAAATACTTTGGTTGCGAGTAGACAGTAGTCTCCCTTGTTGCCGGGAAGTAGCCTAGATACCACTGAGGGACAATTCTGCAGTACAGCGAGCTGTGAAGCGAAGATGTACTTTTCCCGATCTGCCAAGATTAGCAGGAATCTTCAGAACCCATGTAATCCATTGGGTAATGTTTTCGGACCTCCAGCTCCGACCCTTTCCTCGAAAATCTTCAAATTCCTCGCTTTCTTGTCCAGCAATCGTGAATTACAGTTTCTTGAGGTCTCAGCTAGATTTCGTTCCACCTTCTGGGCCGATGCGTCCATATCGATTATTCGCTCGGCCGTCTGTAGCAGGTCCCGGTAACTCTCACTGATCCGCTCAATTAGTCTTCGACACCTGCGGAGTTCCATCGAGGAGTTGCATACCCCACAAGACCCCTCAGTTTCATTTTGTTTGAAGATAACTCAGTCTGGAGCTGGCGTTCCAGCTGGCGGACCTGTGGAATTGGATACTGGAATGCATCCTCCCATTTTTTCAATGATTTGACGTCGGGAGGTGCTGCAGCCATTGCGCTGACAAGCTCGAGTTTGAGAAGATGGCGGTGGGAACTTATGCTTGGTTTGTAAGTTAAATGTGCACACACACAATTCTACTTAGTTTCTGATCACGTGCGAGGAAGTTGCAGACTGTTCTGTTGCACTTGGGTTAGACAGGACGTGACTGAATGCTTATTTAAGATTGAAGACCAAAAAATACATTTGATGAGTATTTATCAGTATCATACAATAATGTGTGGTTAGGGTTCTTCGTTCTCGGTTCCGATAGGATGGTATCCTCCCTTTATCTTATCTCGGGCTTAGTTACGTTGCAGCCAGTTTCTGAGGACCATAGCATGTGCCAAGACATCGCGACTTCTGCTGATCCACTCTACGCGTCTTTTCGCCTCAGGCACAACTTGCCTCTCGAATCTTGGACCACATTGTCTACAGCCGCCCCACATTATCCCTGTTATCTAGTTTGCTTCACTAAGCCTAGGTATTTCTTCCTTCCCTCCGCTCGTGCCTTACACTCTCCTCTCCCTCTAACATGGGGTAAGTTATCCGTGAAGGTACAAGCTCTAATACAAACTGCATAGCTTCAAATGCCTGGATTGAAGCGTCGTCGTCGCCATGATGCTCCCACATCAGAGGAGGAGGAGGAGGGGGAATCATCTACAGAGGAGGAGCCCACTTCGTCGCGCAATCTTGTATTTTTCATATCTATCTTGGTATTTTTTTCTTAATCCTTCGTCTCACTGATTAGCCGTTAGGTTGCAAAGCGTCCCCGTTTCAACTATGAGAGTGACGGTGGTGGCGATGATGATGATCTGGAGCTTTCAAGCTCTCCCCGTGTCCCTGATTATGACTTCGACCTTGAGGAACTTTCGACTCAGAGGGCCGAGATGGAAATCCGTGAGGAAATGGCGATAGAGAAGCCTAATGTATCCTCACAGAAATATGCTTAAGATTTCGTTGATCCTTATTAATTTGGAGGTTTAGGTCCCCGCTGAAAACGGTATCATCCAGAGTGTTACATGTCAGAACTTCATGGTATGTTTGCTTTCCCTTTTCCATCATTGAGTTTCTTACATCTGAAAAGTGCCATCGTTGGCTCGAAATAAAATTCGGCCCTTTTGTCAACTTCGTGATCGGTCATAATGGAAGTGGTAAGAGCGCAATTCTTACTGCGATAACTTTATGTCTTGGAGGAAAGGCAGCCGCAACAAACCGCGGCACTTCCATGAAGAGCTTGATAAAAGAAGGAGAGGAGTAAGTCTATTATACTCCAACATCTAGTCACATAAACTATCTAACAGGATCAAGCACTTCTCGAATTACTGTCAAGTTGAAGAACCAAGGCGATGGGTTCAAAACAGAGCAATACGGTGATGCCATCCTTATAGAGAGAAACTTTACAAGAGATGGTAGCAGCGGTTATAAACTTAAGAGCAACGATGGCAAGGCGATATCCTCGAAAAAAGAGGAGCTTGAGGAAATATGTGACTACTTTGGACTTCAAGTCGACAATCCCATGACCATCCTGACGCAAGATTCCGCTCGGCAGTTCTTATCAAGCTCAACTAATGCCGAGAAGTACAAATTTTTCGCAAAGGGTGTCAATCTGGAACAACTCGATCAGGATTATGCTCTCATCAAGAACGGAATAGATAGCACGGATGCCGTTTTACACAACAAGCTTGCGGATATAGATGGTCTTAAAAAACTTATGGTCAGGGCGAATGAGAGATTGGATCAACTCAAGAGTCATGAGACGCTCCGAGATAAGATTGAAGTCCTGGTTAGGCAGATGGCTTGGGCTCAGGTCAGGGATGCCGAAGTAGAGTTGGAAGAGAAAGTCAAGAAAACCCGTCTCGCAGAGAGTAAGGTGACCAAGGCGGAGGCCGAGCGCGAGACAGCTTCAAAATCTTTTGACGATGCGCATCAAGCCCATGAGGAGGCTGTAGATAAAGTCAATAAAGAAAAGGCTAAGCTGGCCCCTGTCGTGGAGGCTAAAGAAACTGCAAAAGAGGCTGTTGACAATAATAAGAAGGAGCTACAGGGTTTACTGGTCTGTTTCTCCTATTACATTCTACGTTTAACCTGCTTACATTCCGGCATCTGTAGGCGACAGAGAGAGAGCTCAAAGGTTCCTTCGAAGGAAGCCAGAGAAAAATTACTGAAACTAATAACGAAATTCTCGCCGAAGAGAGAAGGCTTAGTGAGAACGATGGTGGGAGGAATTCGCGGCTGATCGAAGAACAAGAGCAGCATGAAAAAGAAGCCCAGCGTGCAAGGGACGCTCTTGAGGATCTTGGGGCAAAAAATGCAGAGAATAAGTCGGCCCTCGAAGTGGCCAAGAGAGAGGTGTCTAAGGCTCAAAGAGCTGTTGACTCATGCGCCGAAGACCTTCAGGGCGCTCAGGCTCATCTGAACCAAATCCGAAAGTCTGAACAAAACTTCATGAATGCGTTTGATAGAAAAATGCCGCAACTCCTTTCCGCGATCAACAAGGAGCAACGTTTTAAAAAGAAGCCTGTTGGGCCTGCTGGAGTTCACGTAACTCTTCGAGATCCGAAATGGCTTCACATCATTGAAAACCTCCTTGGTTCGAATCTAAATGCATTTTTAGTCACTGATTATGAGGACGTCACAATACTAAAAAAGCTAATGCGAGAGGTTGGATTGTGTGTTTTATGTGCCCAAACTATCTTCTTGCTTACGCTAACTGGGTTCAATAGGGAATGCCCAGTCAACGTCATTTCCCAGGGACGAATGGACCTCGAGGAGCCATCCACCAATTTCAAAACCGTGTTAAGGATTTTAGACGTATTGCTCTCTACATATGCTCAAATTCCAAATACTTACAAATTCTAGATTACCGATGACAATGTCCGACGTGGTCTTATTGTCGGGAATTCAATTGAACAGACAATCCTCATAGAGGATCTTCAAAAGGCAACCGATGCCATGGAGCAGAAAAGGCCTAGTGACCACATCGGTATGTGTTTTTCAATCAACAAGCAGTCGCCCGACTGGGGACACAAGGTTGGCGGGACGTATGTTGCATTTTACTCTTTTCTGGATTGAGTGGGGTGCTTAACTGATCTTGGTAGCGGCGGCGGTATGGGGGTTACTCCTGTTGCACCCATCAAACATGCCTCCCGAATGAGATCCGACCTCGCGGCCCAGACTCAGTACGTAATTCCTCCTCTTTGGGTAGCTTCCGGATGTGCTGACATTCTACAGGCAGGTTGAGGACCAAATAGATCGACTTAGGGTATCTTCAGACAATGCCAAACATGAATTGCGCAATAAGCAAGAGGAGCTCGGAAGGATTCAGCGAGACATCGGGGAGTATCGTGTAAGTTGCTATGAATAAGCTTAGAGGGGCGATTCTAACCGTGTTTCAGAGCAATAGAAGCAAGCTTAACTACGAAGTTCACAAGTGTGAAGATGCAGTTGATAAAGTTAAAGCGTTGTTGGAAGAGAATGCTCAGAACGATGGGAAACTTGAAACCCTCAAAGCCAAACTCAAGGTCTGGGAGGAGCGCAAGGAGATGAATGGTCGGCAGTACGAGGAGTTCGTTGTCAGCAAGGAAAATTTGAGTGCAAAAGCCTCTCAGTTGGTAGCTCAACTGAGAGCGGCGAGTCAGGTTGCAAGTCTAGCTGTGAAGCATACCGAGGATGCACAGCTTGATGAAGCTACCGCCCGGCGCAGGCGCGAACAGTGTCTCGCCAACAAGAATCACTGGTACGAGAAGCATCGCCAATACGAAGAAGAAGCCGCAGCATTGAGAGCGGTAGCTGAGGATGCGAGATCTAGAGTTGATGTATGACTTCCCCTCCCAATCCCTGAGCGTCGCGCTGACGATGTTATGATTATTAGAGGTATATTCAAGCGGCTTCAACAGTTTGTCCACGTGTTGGAGTTCCCCGTGGAGACTCAACCGCAGCTTTGGACAATAGGCTCGCGAAACTACAGAGGGAACTTGAGCGCGCAGAGCAAATGCTTGGAGGCACCGCCGAAGAGGTAACCGCACAAGCCCAGCAGGCAACATTGAATTATACCCAAGCTAGGGACCAACGCGCCTCTTTTCAAGAACTCCTCAGGATAGCGATTAGTGTCTACAAGGAGCGTCTCCGCCGCTGGGGCCTTTTCCAGTGTTACATTAGCGCCCGCGCAAGAGCGCAATTTTCATGGATGATGAGTGAGCGGGCATTTAAGGGTCGCTTGCGTTTAGAGCACACCTGGAAACCCGCGGAACTGATCATTGAAGTGCAGCCTGGCCAGCAAGATACTGGAAATCGTGGGCCGAAGACGCTATCTGGTGGTGAAAAATCTTTCTCGACCATATGCCTACTACTTTCGTTATGGGAGGCGATGGGGTCCCCGATTAGGTGTCTGGATGAATTGTATGACTTTTCTTCCTTCTTCCTCTAGTTCCCCTGCCTCATTACTCTAATACGTGTGATACAGCGACGTTTTTATGGACGCCATAAACCGCAACATTAGTGTAAACATGATGATCCGAGCCGCCGAAAGATCTATAGGGAAACAATTCATCCTCATTACCCCCCAAACAATGAATAATCAAAATACTACTAATCAAGTCAAAATAATCAAGTATATCCCCTCGTCCCCCCCTTTGCCCTTTTTGTGCTAAACTGGTGAAATCGATAGAATGCGTGATCCGGAACGTGACAATGCGGGTCAAACCCGTATTGATGGTTGACAAGACCTTTTCTAACGGTGCATAATCCTTTTCTCTGCTGATGCTATTTCGTTTCTGGCGCTAGACTGTTTGCTGCGTAATGTCTTTCTTTCTCTAAATCGGTGGTTGGCTGATGCCCTCCCCGCTCTGAGAATGGAGAATTATGTTGTCGGTTTGTCTTAGCTAGGGTACAGTGGAAATGGTCTCGTTTCAGTGTATATAGACGGAAGTAGGCTGAAAAAAAAAATTGAAGTTTTGTATAGGCTGTGGCTACATAAAGTTTGCGGCTGTAAGTAGGTTGGCCCAGAGAACCTGGTTTGTTGGCATAACTATTCCTATGGGAAGGCATACTAGAATGACAGCACTTAGTCTAACGTGATGGATTGAATCATATGATATCACTCGCTAAATCTTTGTTTTCGATACGGAGCCTGAGGACGGGAGCGACTGAGGGGGGTTTGACTGAATGGGGTTACTGTAGTGACTGTAGGAGAGGCTGTTGGGGAAACGGAGAATCTGCAACTAGAAAAAAAATCGAAGCAGGAGATGGCACGAATAACGGGCACGAAATCCCCAGAGATCATAGGAATCATTGGGAAGGAAGAAAGGAACTGACTCAAGGCTCCGGGAACGTACCGACACCCCGACAAGCTGCTACAGGGAGCCAGCCATCCATCCAAGCACCCCCGATCGACAAGAGCACTTTACCGCATTGTACTCGAGCACATTCCCCAATCCTGCGGGGGAAGAAGCAAACTACCGGTGAACCCGACCGGGGGGAGGGGGGTTGACGAACGAAAGCTTATTCAAAGTATTTCTCTTCTTTATGCACGATATCTTTTAACTTTCTTTTTTTCTTTCTTTGTGTCCCGTTGCGGAGCCCTCTCGATTGCTGTTCGCAACTTTCTTTGTCCGGACCGCCGGCGCCAGTGCACGGTTCGTGGAAAACGGCGTGTTCATAAATACCCGTCTTTTCCTTTCGCCATCTACTCATTATACTTACCCTCTACTCGTAACCGAAAGATTATCATCATATCATACCCCCACCGGTCCGGCTTGGAGGGGTTGCCGGGTGAGTGGGTTTATGGAACTGGCGAGGTTACGATATCACAACCTCCAGGTCGAGTTGGCATGGTTTACTGAGCTGCAGTATGAGTTATCATGCTTCAACTGCCAATTCGAGATCGCCTCGCCGGGATTTTTATTTAATTTTTATTTACGGTACGCTTTTACCTACCTGACTACCTACCCGCTCTGTGGTCGATTTCCTACCTATGCTGTAGGTGGAAATAATCTATCCAGCTACTCTACGGTAGTCCACACCTTGTCGGACGGGTTACTCGAGTGCAATATCACAATAATACAATCCTTACTTATAACTTCACGCATGCTGGCTTTATTTACTACTAGGTAACAGGCGGATTTTTGGAACAATGAAATTTATTTGTTTATTTGTCTGAAGGAGGAAGAAAAAAATCCATACCAAATGAGCGCATATGACTGGGCTTTGAGTAAAGCAAGTAAAATACTATACTCGAGTACAATACTCGAGCACTTGTAAAGCAAAGCGAAGTGGTAAGGAATAAGTAAGAGGGAGTTGAAACATATTCTGTTCATACTCGCAACTAAGTAGTAAGGAACCAACTATTACCCGAAAATCCAGTGAAGGGATAAAGTTTAATAAGGGTAAAAAAAAGTGTACGTATCATATATCCCTAATTACAAGCAGTCGTAAAGGTATTTGCCTACACCTCTCATGTCCACAACCGCTTCTGCAATCAACAACTTCTGCCAACAACTATCTCCCCTCCCATAACCATCTCATACCACAACCGTACCTGCCCACAACCATCTCCGTGCACAACCACTTCTGCCCGTGATATGTACATATTTATGTACGCAAGACTGAGGAATATATACAAGAACGTAACAAGATTCAGCGAAAAAGAAAGAGCAAACATGTATGGAGTAGTGAGGTATCGGTAAACAATTCCGAACCTGAAAAATCGTAAAATTCGAGGAAGAACAAAACAAAAACAGATAAAAGCCGCCACCGTGCCCAGTAGTGAATCTAAGAGGGGGAAGGGAACATATACAGCAAAAAAAAAAAAAAAAAAAAAAAAAGCAAGAAAAAAGTATGCCGGAAGTGTGCGATAATGGGGTCGTAAAATAATAGGAAGGTGTGTAAAGTAAAAATAAAAAGAAAGGAAAAGAACGTGAAGCGTATGTATTGTACTTCAGCGTAAAAGTCATGAACGAAGTAAGGATGCTAAACTAATACGTGAAAAGAAAAAAAAAATAGTACATGAAAATTGACTGATTAAAAATAACGTAGGGCAACAATCTAAATGTCCGTTATGGCCGGGAGGAAATTAAGTAAATAGGAGAAAAACAAAAAGAATGAAGAAAAAGAAAGAAAGAAAAGGAAAAAAAAAACTATTGATGTAAGTTCCTCATGAGAAACTCGAAAAGGAGGTGGAGTAGATATAATTGAGGGTAAAGCCGACCTCCTGAAATGATATTGAGCGAATTGCAGTGATGAGAATTAAAACACTTTTTGTTTCAAGTAAGTCGATTACTGACCCGCCACGTCTCCCCGTAAATTGTAAAGTATTGAGTACTACCACTCAGGCTCGAAGTCTAAACAAAGTGCCATGCTAGTCCATCCTTTGACTCGAGTTAAAACAACAAGATATCTTTCGTCCCCGTCGGCCTCTAGCCCACCCATTGTATCGCTTCTGCTGTTGCCTCCAAGGAATATGGTGGGATTGGTCCTAACGGGCATCATACCCCAATCTTCTTCTTCCTCACCAAGGTTCTGTCGACGTCTCCTTCTCATAATCTCGGGCTGCTGTAGTTTGTGTCTCGAAACTTGCTTGAACCACCTCTCTCTTGGTGGCGTAGTTGAACCAGTAGGAGGTACGGAATTACCGGTAAAGGAGGCTTTTGGATAGATTGTAGACGCTGTTGGTGCAGATGACGCAGTAGAGCTAGATCCCGATGAATTACTGGCAGCCGAACCCGGCCTCTCGGTAGGCGCACTGTCACTCCTCTTCCTCTTACGAGAGCCTTCGGGAGTCATCGACATCTGATCGCTAAAAGCTGACTCCTCCTTAACACCTTCCCACCAAATACCGTCCAAAGTCCCGTCTACAACCTCTTCATACCCGACCGTATCTATTCTCGCCGACATGGGTGGATTATATCCTCCCGCATGATGCCATATCCTCATTGCCGGACGGAACACAGGTCTAGCCTCATCCTCACTCTCATCCTCGCTGATGTCGCTGGAGGGAGCTTTTGCAAGACTCTTATTTTCATCAAAGATGATCCAGCTGACTCCACTATCAACATTGAGTGCCTCCATCCTGGTATGTTCGGCTATTGGTGTAGCTTGAATACCAACACGACTCTCGACCGATGGGCGCATCTCGTCTTCCGCATACCTGCTCTGATACCTGCGGATTTCGAGGACATCAAAATTAACAGTTTCCAGGGTCCAAACAGAGAGAGTAGGGTATTCAAGCTTCTCAGTTGAATTGCAGGTCTTTGGAGGAACGATATGTGGATGTGACTTGGATTCAATTATCATAAGGTTCGGCTGCCCTTTGTTAGACTTTGGTTGTGAGCTGAACTCGATCCGAATAGCTTTCTCCAATAGGCCGGTTCCAATTTCAATACCACTCCTCTCTAAATCAATCTCCTTCAACAAAGATGCCTCTTCCCCAATTCGCCTCCCAAGAGAGTAAACAAGAACCTTATATGCAGCTTTCTTGGAAACCTCCTCACCTGGGATCCTAGAGCCTTTGTCTTCGAAAGCGACAACCATCTTTTGTGGAACAGCACCCTCGGCACCAGACGCTGGAAAGACAGTATAGGCACCAGGGTTCTCGGGAAGATTGTTGGGATAACCGGAGCGCTTCTGTTTTGGCCAAGAGTCATGGAGAGCAGTTCTTGTAAGTATCTTTCCAGTAAGAAGACAATGAACAACCAGAGCATATCTGTACTCCTGGATGACACCACCGCCATTAGCTGGCACAGGCACTTGTGATTGAGTCAGGTAATGCACCCATCCCTTGGTTCGTTGGAGTGAAGTCGGATTGTCGTGAAGGGACATTTTCCAAACCACTTCATCCGTCTCGTAATCCAATGCGGCCATCTCCAACCCCCAAGTCAAGACCTCTCTAAACAAAAGCACAACCAAACCACTTCCATTTCTACCGGACACGTTTTCGACAGCAGTAATTTGGTGAACGTGGGCGATCCTATTACCAACACTACCGAGCTTAAGACCACGACGGCCACTAATGCCTTCTCCGATCTTCTGCTGCCAGATCTTTCTGTTTGATTCGCACCAAAATAGATAACGAGCGGTCGAGGCGAATCCTCTATCGCAGATATGATGTAAACGATACTTATGAACTTTTGTGGGTTTCGCCATTGCTCTTGTATGAAGACGGTAAGTAGCTCTGGAAAAACCTAAAGATACCTCGGAAATCTCGCGGCTCTGTACTCTATTGAGTCGACTAGAAGAGAGAATTGATTGAAGCTCCAACGATCTCCTCGGTCCGGACTTGCCGTTTTTCTTTCCAGATCTTCCAGATTTTTTACTCATTTGAGGTACCTCCTCGCCGAGTTCCATAATATTGTCTTGCAAGATCGATTTCTCAGTAGCTACAGCATTCCTTTCATAAAGCTCTCTGGTTTCTCTTGAATACGGAAAGTGGGCTTGAAGAGCGACTTTACAGATGTAATCAGAGCTTAAAACCCTGTCCCAAACACTTGAGACCTGACGCAGGCGTACAACATCGACCGGAGGCAAAAACTCAACTATCATTGCGATCTCATAGATGTTGAGTACCTGGAGGGGGTCCGCGCGACCCATGGTCTCCGTAAGAAGAAGAAAAAATTCTCTTTGGTAAGAGAAAAAGAGGAAAACGGTCCTGCTATCTTGAGCGGCCTGAAGTGGAGAATCGTGTGTCTCGTGAGAAGAAGTGAAAAGGTTATAGCGGGGTAGTTTTGGAAAGGTGAGGTGGAAGGCTAGCGGTTGTTTGTCGTTGAAGGAAAACGATGATGAATATTGACGATAGTGGTGGTGACGACGACGACGGTCGAGGTTGTGTCGCGGGTGAGTGTTAAGGGGGAGGAGGAATAAAGGGGGGGAGGAAAACGAGGGGCACTTGACAGAGCAAGGAAGATGGGATGAAGCTAGCGAGAGAAAGGCTTAGGAAATTAAGGTATCAGGAGGGATAACTCGGAGGGA